TTTTACTTTATTTAGTGATAATTTGTGTGATTTAAATTTACTAAGCTATACTTCATTCAATTACGATTCTTTTAGCTTTTAAAAATCTTAATTTGATCAATTAAATCATCTGTAATCGCTTACATAAGAATCATCAGATAGAACCCTATTTCTGCCTGATTTGTATTTGTTAGGCACTGATGTCATCTTGACGTCCGCACCCTTATTTCTTTTTTCGTGAATTTTAAACATATTTTATTTTTATTTCTTAGTACAAAATCTATAAAAAAATGTATTCTTTATAAATAATTCTAAAAAAATTACTCAATATTATATTATATCCTTGTGATTGACCTAAAAAATTACCACTATTTTTGGAAGTTTTTATTGAATTATAATTAATATATTCGTTCAAAAATAATTCTAAATATCTAAAAATTAGTATTTTCTAGTTTTACAAATTTTAACTTTTTATGATTTACTATACAACGACTAAGTCACCTCATAAACCTATAGATGAAGCTTCATAAAATGTATTTCATCTTTGACCAATATATCTCCATCGAGTGACAACTACAGAATAACTCATTATCATCAAACTTTCGCTCTACTAGGTGAGAACTATTGGAGACACATCATTGTCACCTACCTTCATCTTCTAGACTTGCAAAGAAATTTAAAAACTACCAACATTGTCCATCTCCAATGAGAGTCTTTGAAGCTGCAGAGATTACACAATAATCCTTCTAAATGCTTAAGATTCTAACACATTATTGCGACAATGCTAAAACTCTATTTTACTTGTTTTAAACTAGTTTAACTTTCATCATCATTCTTTGGACTTCATAAGGAGATTTAGAAATTACTTAGGTCATATGTGTCTAAGAAGAGCCCTTGAGGCTATAGATATTGTATGATAATCATCCCAAACACTCATAATTCTACTATAATCTTACATCTTTTTTAAACATATGTTTTTTATTATAATCTTACATCTTTTATATTTTTTTGTTAGAAACTTAATCTTGTATAAAATAAAATAAGTAACAAAAAACTTAGTTTAGCTGATATCATAAGAGCAAGGTAAACCTAAAAGATAGTCACCTATGTAGACTACCAATGTGCAAGTGAAGGGATTAGACTAAAATGTATCACTATCCTTACTAGTCACCCATTGCTTGTTATGAAGATTAATCCCTAGACCTATTTGTTTTGAAAAAGTACAAAAGTATTCTTTCATCTTGTCCAAAAATCCATGTGCTTAGGTGAAAACTTTTATCTTTCAAATAAGAGATTCATAGTGAAGATTAATGTGGATTGAAAATTTTCTACTAACTTAACCTCTAGGTTGAGTGTAATGTTTACCTTGCAAAAGTGTTGATTTAACATTATTTCACTATATGAAGTTATATATTGTCCATAATCTCTTAACATATATGGATGTGTGATATCACATTAGTTGTTATAAATAAAATGATCAATTTTTACTTATTTATTAACCAAATTCAAAATAAAATTTTGGTGAATTCAAGTTGTCCAAATAGATGATAGTTGATCTCAATATTAACTTTTTGTTGTAAATAATTTATTAAAATGAAAAATAAAAAAGGAAAATAATCTTCTTCACACTTTAAATCATATATAGTGGGTCAGCATTAAATCTTTCAATTTTAATGTGTGTCTATGTTCAGCATTAATAAATGAGCTCAAGACCTATAAACATTCTAGAGAAAATGATACACAAAATCACAAAAATAAAAGAAAAATAAATGCAAAAAATAAACTTAAATTAGGAAAAATAAGAGAGGAGAGAGAAATACAGCCATTGATAGGGTCTCCTCGAGGATGGTGAAATGGAAAAGAATCTGAGCGGAATTCCTAAGAAGTAAAATTTTATCAAAAAAACTAAAAAATGAAAATAACTACTGAAAATAAAACCAATATCTAAAGGGAAAAATAATTTGGATTCAAATCCATATAAAAACAAACAATCTATGAGACTAAATTTCTTTGAATGACTGTAATCAAGTTAACTTTAATTAGAAAGATTTAAATCACACAAATAAGGACAAGAAAAAATAAAATAAATGTGTGAACTCATCTAAGTCTATCACCAAGAAATAAAGTATTGTCGTGGTAATAAAATGGAATGAAAAAGTGACTAAAAAGTGACTAAAAAGTGGTTAAAAGGCTTAATCTTGTTAGTTGCTTGTCACAAAAATGATGGATTAAGAAAAATAAAAAATCAAACTCCAAATGAAAATAGAATTCACAAACTTCCCCTATCTCTTACCTATTTGTCACTAAAAATAAAGTAATAGAAAATGAATGCAAAATCAGAATAAAAATTGGTAAAAAAATAGGTTTAAAGGCTTGATCTCTTCATCTTATTCCCAGATTAAGAAAAAATTAAAATGATAAAATGGGATCAAAAGAGAAATCAAATATGTAAGTGCCAATCATTGCTCAACTTGTCTCCACATGTCGCATGGAGAGAACTCGATCTGAAAAACTTAAAATTAATCAAATCTCTTGTTCTTTATCATCTCAAAACTTCATTTCATTTTCCTTGGATCTTCTTTCTGATATTTATGAAAAAATATCCTAATGATCACTATGAAATTAGGAATTCTCCCCTTTTGTTTCACCACCCAAGTGGAGTCTAGAAGATAACATGTACATTGATGACATGATATAATATGCTGACATGCAATAAAATGATGAGTTGGCCCATAAAATTTTGACACATTGTCTTCTGATGTGACCATGAATTGATGCATTTGTTCTCATTATTTTGATAATTTAAAAATTACTGAAAAATTACTTCATAAATACCCTAAAAATGAAAGACAAATCTATTGTCTAATTTACCTTCATGATTCATTTCCTATGAATTGTAAAATGATTGTCACAATTTTAAGCTTAGATAGCTATTTTTGCACATGGATTAAAGTTACCAATAAAAATATAAATTCATCACCTAATTCTCAAACTAGTATTACTGCATTTTTTAACATTAAAAAATCTTATTTTACATTGATTCATGAAATGAATACTTGAATTTTACCATAGTTATTATATAAAAATAAATTATTATCAAGGTGCCAGTGTGGCTTACTCTCATTCATATATCAATATAATTAACTTGTATAAGAACCTTAAAGATGTGGAGTGTGATGATTTCCTATGTTAAATCTCTCTCCTCAATTATGATTTATTTATTTAATTCTTGTCAGAAAATCCATCTTGAAGTGAAAGACAAGCTTTTGAGGTGAATATTTACCTATGAGATACCTCATCATAAACCAAATATACTTGTAGGTGGTGGTGAATTTAGATTCAGAAAGGAAATCGGATGGAATAGGCTGAAATTGTGTAAACTAAATACTATTTTACACATGATTAAAATGAGGTTGGAGTATTTAGGTGATGAATTTATTTTTCTTCAATGTTGAACTAGGTGCTTTTGTTGAGAAATATGGGGTTTTGAGATATTCTATCTTCATATCTATCACTTCTTGTGAGGCCAAACCTATCCCTTGTTTAATGTTGAATTGAAGAATTTCAGGTAGGTCGAAACAAATATCCCCTGTTTGTCCTCTAATTTGATTACAGTTTTGTTTAGAAGAACATTTATCGAGAGAAATAAGATAGTAAAATGGTTATACTTGGAGGGTGGGAACTTTGAGAATAATGACAAGAGAGGGACAAACAGATGAATGTTAGGAACACTAGAAAGTTAAAAGGACTAGGGATTATGAAAAGGTAAGGGTTTGGGCAGAAGTAGAGGGGAGACAAGATGACGGGGGATAACCATGGTAGTTAAATGTGAGTAATGACTCCTAGTAACAACTAAATGTTGTTGTGCTTTAATGTGGTTGTGTTGGGTATAGAAGTTGTTGATGCTTGAAGAAGTCTTGTCTAGAAAATAAGAAAATCTAAAAGAATCCAAAAGCTCGAGGGTAGCAATTAAGAGAAGGAACACTTGTAAAAAACTTTGAGATCTCATTGGAGTGCTAATGAGGGAGAAAATGCCACCACAAGTACAAACTTTGATAGAATTTCATATATATGTAGTGTCAAAAGGTAGTTTGTTTTGAAAACATTATTACAAAAGGTACATAAGAAAACTAAGTTCTAATGTGTCAAGTTGTTGTGGGACATATCCAAATTTGGTTCTTATTTTCAATGATTAGTGCAGTTCAATATTTGAACAAAAAACTTTAAACTTGGAGGCAATTTATTTAATTTAATAAAATTAAAAGTATTCATTGATTAATAGAAGTAAATAAAATTTTGGGGGACATTTGGATTGTTGAACATATCCTTGTTATGAAAAGTTCAAGAAATATGTAATCTATAATGGAACTAGAACAATGATGTCCATGAAAGATGTAGTAGTCAACTAAATTATAAATGTGATAAGCATGTTATAAGGAAAATTTCCAAATGAAGCCATGTTTGAGTATATTGAGCTCTTCTAATGGTTTCCCAAACTTGATATATTGGAATCAATGTACTTTTTATTATTTGGAAAAGGACATAGTTAATCATTTCATGGAAGATTATTTGGAATCTGGTAAAACTAATTATGATTAAGTCTCACATAACCATTCTACATACCTAGTGTCTTCTAATTGTGATTAGTGGAAGATTCTCTTTCCAACTATATTTTTTTATGTTGTTTAGGGAAATAAATAACATAAAATTATAATACATTTATAAAAAATTTAATAAACAAAAAAGATCGATATCCTTGGTTTTAATAATTGTAAGTGAAAATTTATTGGTAAGTGATTATTTAATAATGATGATTATTTTTAAATTTTTACACATATGTTCTAGATATTTAATACACTCAACATAGTTGTTATATGAATTATTTTTATTAATTGATTTTATGATTAAATCTAAGGTTTTAGTCCTTGAAAGAAAATGATTCTCTACATTAGAAGTACTTTAGGATGAAAGATTATCAGTTGAAAAATTATTCTAAGATGAAAGGTTAGGTATATAATTAAATGGGTATAAGTAGATGTAATTCCATAAATGGTATTTTATGTAGAAATAGTATTCTTGCTTTTTTTGACGATCCTCGATACCAAAGACAGTTCAGGAATGACTAAATATGGGCCTTTAGAGGTAGATTCCATTGTCAAAAAAGATAATTTAATTGAATATCGAGGAACAAAAGAATTTAGTCCAAAATACCAAATGAAAGTAGATCAATTTTTTTTCATTCCTAAGAAAGTGCATGTCTTACCAGGATCTTCATTGATAATGATTCAGAATAGTAGTATTAGAGTGGATACACCACTCACTTTAAATACAAGAAGTGGTAGGTGGATTGGTCTAAGTGGAGAGAAAAAGAAAGTATTGAACTCAATATTGTTTAGGGGATATTCATTTTCCTGGAGAAACAAATAAGATATCCAAGCACAACGGCATGTTGATACCATCAGGAAAGGGAAAAAATAATTTTAATGAATCAAAAAATTGAAAAATTGGATCTATGTCCAATAGATCACACCTACTAAGAAAACGTATTTTGTCTCAGTTTGACCTGTAGTCACATATGAAGTAGCGGATGAGATCAATTTACCAACATTTTTTTCATAGAATCTTTTGCAGGAAGGGGATAACGTCCAACTTAGAGTTGTCAATAATATCCTTTATGAAAATGGCAAGCAAATTCAAGGAATTTATCACACAAGTATTCAAATTAGTTCACATTTGCATAGTATTGATTTGGGACCAAGACCAAAATAGTTCTATAGAAGGTATTCATGCTTCTTTTGTTGAAATAAAGACAAATGATCTAATTTGTGATTTCATAAGAATTGAGTTAGCTAAGTCCCCCATTTTGTATACCATAAAAAGAAATAGTATAGTGGGTTTAGGATTGATTAACCATAATGGATTACATTACATGAATATTAATCCTTTTTATTCCAAAGAAAAGAGTCAATCACATACTAAACATAAAGAAACTGGTGGTATGTTGTTAAATCGAAAGATGAAATGTCAATCTTTGAAAATTTTGTTATCATCCAACTATTCTTGAATTAGTTCATTCAATGGTTTGAAATATAACATTGTCACAAAACAATCAATTAAAGTGGATCTTATAACTCCAATTAGGAATTCCTTAGGACCTTTAGGTACAATAGTATTCAAAATTGTGAAATTTTATTCATCTTGCCATTTAATAACTTATAATCAGACTTTGTTAAAAAAAGAATTTGTTTCTTAACAAATTTAGTCAGACTTTCAACTACTAAAATATTTTTCAATAGGTGAGAATAGGGGGATTTATAATCTTGATCCATCTAGTAACATAATTTTTCATCCATTTGATTTAAATTGGTGTTTTTTCACGATTATTGTGATGAGACATCCACAATTATTAGCCTTGGACCTTTTTTTTGTGAAAATATGTCTATTCAAATACAGATGACAGAAAAAATCTGGTCAAGTTCTAATTGTTCATGTTGACTACTTAGTAATAAGATCAGCTAAGCCTTATTTGGCTACTCCAGGAGCAACGGTTCATGGTCATTATGGAGAAATCCTTCATGATGGAGGTACCTTAGTTATATTTATATATGAAAAATCAAGATCTGGTGACATAACACAAGGTCTTCCAAAAGTAGAACAAGTGTTAGAAGTACGTTCCATTGATTCAATATCCATAAATTTGGAAAAGAGGGTTAAAGCTTGGAATGAACGTATATGAAGAATTCCCAGAACCCCTTGAGCATTCTTCATTAGCATAGAGCTAACCATCGCTCAAGGTCGTATCTCTTTGGTTAATAAGATCCAAAAGGTTTATCGATCTCTAGGGGTACAAATCCATAATAGACATATAGAAATTATTATATGTCAAGTAACATCAAAATTATTGCGTTTTAGCAGATGGAATGTCTAATGTTTTTTTACCTGGAGAACTCATAGGATTGTTGCGAGTAGAACAAGCAGTGCATGCTTTGGATAAAGTGATATGTAATTGAGCAATCTTATTGAGAATAATGAGGGCATCTCTTAATACTCAAACTTTCATATCCAAAGCTAGTTTTCAAGAAACTACTTGAGTTTTAGCAAAAGCTGCTCTACGAGGTCATATTGATTGCTTGAAAGGCCTAAAAGAAAATGTTGTTTTGGAGGGACTTATACTTGTTGGTCCTAGATTCAAAAAATTAGTTCATCATTCAAGGCAGCATAAAAACATTCAGTTGGAAATAAAAAAGAAGAATTTGTTCAAAGGAAAGATGAGAGATATCTTATTTCACCATAGAGAATTTTTGAGTTCTTGTATCCCAAACAATTTTCATTAGACATTGGATCAATCATTTACATGATTGAATGATTCCTAACCTAAAGGCAGGCTTATTTTTAAAAAAATATAATTTCTTTATCCAGTCCCATTTTCTTATTTGATCATAATGAATTAAAAGGAATTAATGGGTTGAATCGTGTATCAATGGTCAATCTTCAGTATAAAGTTCCATCAAAATAATTATTTCTTTTAGATACCTTGTCTCCTTTTTTAAAGAAAGAGAAAATGTGGGGGAAAATGACAAGAAGATATTGGAACATCAATTTGGAAGAGATGATGGAAGCAAGAGTTCATTTTGGTTGTGGGACTAGGAAATGGAATCCTAGAATGGCATTCATATTACAAATTTTACGAGAACTGCACATTTTTTATCAGATGCCTGTGTTTTAGTTTTTGATGCAGCAAGCAAAGGAAAACACTTTTTGATCATTGGGCCCAAAAATAAAGTAGCTGATTTAGTAGCATCTACTGCAATAAAGGCTCAGTGTCATTTTGTTAATAAAAAATTGCTTGGTGGTATGTTAACAACTTGGTCCACTATAGAAATGAGACTTCAAAAGTTCAGAGATTTAAGAGTGGAACAAAGGATGATAAAACTCATCAGTCTCCCAAAAAGGGATGCAACAATGTTGAAGGGAAAATTATCCACCCTGCAAACATATCTAGATGGGATCAAAGATATGACAAGGTTAGCTGATATTTTATTTTTGAATGTGTGACTATCCAATATATGTAGCCTTTAATATTTCGAAATAATGTTAGATATTTTTCCTAAGATATTACATGAATTAAGTAATCAAGAAAATGAGAAAAACAATGAAACATTTAAGTTTCAAAGAGAACATCTTGATGGTGATACATTCACTACTTACGTGGAAAAAAGGGAAATGTTAGAAAGAATTCAATAATTTTCTATTAAGTTAGAAAGCTAAAGTTCAATTTTGAATGAAGATGGCTAAGAAAATATATTCAAATGTTGTTGATGTACATTCTAGAAAATAGTAAATTTCTGAACAGAGATTAAAAAATTGGAGACCAAATTAAATAGGAAAACTAGTACGAAAAAAAAGCTTACAAATGAGAGAAGATTTCTAAATTGAAAACTAGTCAAACACATGAAATTCAAGGCTAAAAATCAAGTTCTTTACATAGCACACATCAATGACAATTGAGAATACTAGACCTTGTTCATTAGGTGTTCCTAGTAAACGAATAACTAAATCAACATAACTTTTCTCTCTATTAAGTCCTAAAGTAATTGAGTGGTTGGTAGATCTTAATCATCGTGTTGTAAGATAACCAAAATTTAATTAATTCATAAATTGAATGTAAAAGATGTTTTAAGTAATAAATTTAGTGGATTCATGTCGTCTACATAGAGATGAAAGACAAAAAATATTTCTAATTCGTTCTCAACACTTATTGAAAGTTAAATAACTAAAAGCTAAAGATAGAAAATAAATGATTTCAAAGATCATTAAGTTGTCATGGTCACATTCCCTTCTCTTTGTTGACTTTGAAATAGAAGACATTCTTATTGATGTCTTGATTGCCTCTAGATTACTTTTAATTGATGTTGATTCAAGGGCTCCTGAAGAATAACCAGAAAAAGTCACAAAAACAAAGGAAAATGAGTGGAAAATCTGTTAGCAAATATTCCTCCAGCAATTAAATGTAGTAGATGATACACAACTCAATAAAATCTAAAAATGGTAAAACAAAAGATTATAAAAGAAAAGTATGATTGATAATGTCATATGTGTCATTTCACGTGATAGAATCAATCAAAAACTTGAAATAAAATATAGAAGTTAAAAAAACACAGCAAAATAAGAGAAGAAAATATAGGAAATCACACTACAGCTTTGTTGTCACACATTGACAGCTTTGGAGGAGAAATTGACAATGTTTTATTTTGATATAATAATTGTGGTAAAATGAAAGTATTTGTCATATGAATTAACATGAAATGTGTAATATTTAAGCTAAAAAATATTAGGAATGGTTAGAGAGTTGTGTCACTAATTTCCATCTAATTTGCTATTTTTTTATGATTTATGTGAAATTAATATATTTCTGATTTTTAATCCACGTACTAATAGGATTCTCCAAATTTTATAGTCTTGAAAATTATTTTACAATTGATAGAAAATTACCCATGAAGATAAAATTGGAAAATATATTTATCTTGTATTTTTTTACGGAATTTATGTAGACATTATTTCAACCATGTTGTTTTAGTAATTTTAAAGTTATCAAAATAATGAGAATAAAATGCAGCAATTATGTCCACATCACTAGGAGGAGACCTCAAGAGTTTTTGGGCCAAGTCAGCATTTTAGGGCAACATCAATAGGTTATCTCATCCAAGAACATGTCCTCTTCCATGCTCTATTTTTGGGTAGTGAAACGTATATAGATAATTTTGGATTTTACGATGATGCTTTGTGATATTATTGCATGAAAATTGGAAAGAAGCTTGAAGACAAAGGGAGGAAGATTTCTATATTATTAAAACAAAAATATCTGAAGAATTTTGATGCTTTTAGGGCTGATTTCTCTTTGATTGATAGGTCGAGACAAGCAGAGCAATATTGGGCAATTACAAATTCAATTTGTCTTTTTATTACACTTTATTTTAGTTCCTTATTCATCTGTAATCTGGGTGACAGACAGACAGTGATACTCAGCATTTGATCCATTTTTGGACTAGTTTTTAGAAAGTTTTACATTGATTTTCTGGTACTCTATTTTCAGGTGACAATACAAGCTAGTAGAGTGACATATGGTGTTGGAAAATTAGATTTTTGTTTTGATTTAATTTAATTTTTACTTTAGCTTATTTCATCATTTAGGTGACAGGTGGACGACTAAATCAAGAATTTGAATCCATATTTTTATCACTTTTTAATCACTTTTGTGTTCTAGTTCCTTACTACAATAATACTCCATTCTTGGGTTATAGACAAGGAAGAGTGAGCGTATTTATTTCTTTCTTTAGGTCTTTTTCTTCTGATTTTAATATTTTTAGTGAAAATCAACTTTGTTACAATCATTTTGGTATATTTATTTCAAAATATTACTTAGTTTTGATTAGTATTAGACTCAAATTCGTTTTCCCATTTCATCATTGACTAGGAAACCCCACTAGTGGTAGTATTTTCTCTCTCCTCCCTTATTTTTCTAGATTTTAGGTTTATTTTTTTAATTTAATTTTTGAGGTATTGAATCATTCATCAATTCTAAATATAGAAAAACATCAAAATTCGAAGATTTAGAAGTTTTGTAATTTGGAAGATATAAAGTCAAAAGAAGATTATTAATGTTATTATTATTTTATTTGTCATTATTTTTTAAAAAATTATTTAGGATGAAAAAAATCATATTGATATTAACCATTGTCCAAGTGGACAACTTGAATTCTCCAAAATTTTATTTTAATTCTTATTTTGAATTTTGTTTATAAATACTTGAAATTTGATCATTTTGTTTCCAACAAGCAAAGAGATATGATGAATCAAGCAATGAAATCAATTAAAGGGAATTTCAAAAGGACTAGAATTAAAAGAAGAAGCACTCAAAAAATCAAAGATTGAGATTATGAAATTTTACTTAAGAAGATAGGACTACCCATACTTGTTGTTGCCTTACCACAGATAAGAACAAGGTCCTCCTCTCTCCCAAGAGATGGGAAAACTTACAATGAGCCAAGAGAGAACCCTATTTTTCCCTAATATTTTTTTTTTATTTCAGTCAAGAAGTTGCAAAATTATTACCAAAAATTTCTCTAACAAATAACTTAAAAGGTCAGATATAATATGAGAATGATTCAAATGTAGTAGCTAGTTGTTCTTCCTTTCTCATTTTCGTGGAGTTACTATTTTTACCTAACTAATTTGGCTTGTGGTTGACATATGAGTTTGCTGACCTATCAAAGCTGTAGATTAACTTCCATTTTCTGCTAACATGACTAAGAGGGTTTGGAGTTTAAACAATGAGTCTTAGCTTACTTACCACATGCTTCAACATAATTCTAATTTCTTTTAGAAAATCACAAAAATACTAATTCAAAATATAACTTCTGGGCAAAAATAAAATATATTTAAATGCAACAAACCTTGGATGAATATAAATCATCCAAAGTGCAAGTTTAGTCATGAATTTTCTACGTAGTATTTCAACAGAAGTAAATATATTCTAATTCAAATAAATATATGTATAATCATAAATTTAAATTATTATTGTATTCATTTTACATTATTTATCACATAAGATTAGAGTGTTATTATTGGTGAAGAACAAACATTTTAGACAAAAGCACAATGACCTAGTAACCATATTTGGTCTGAAATGACTTGTTCCTTGAGGAGGTGGTCATTCCATGGCATGTTCCATGTGAATTAGACATGAACTGTTTGTGAGTTGAGACAGCAAAATCTTGGTTTGTAGGCAGGTTAGATGATAAATTGTTAAATGCCTTGTAAGCAATGTTAAGGCGACGATCAAGCTTGTCACTGTCAAGCGAGCTGCAAAAATTCCCTCCCTTGGCTACTTCACCCCTTTCACAGCCCAGAGTACTCATGAAGTTCCCCATTCTCGTGTATGGGAGGTTTTCCTGATTTATAGTTCCTTTCCCTATTGATGTGATGCTTTGCTAATGTATTGGATCCTTGCTATTTGATTGCAGTTCGTGAATTGTGACAAGCGAAGAGAAAAATCGCCAGCAGATAATTTGGCATCCCAATCAGAAGCCCGCAGCTTGAGTTCAATAGTTTTCCGTAAGAATGAATCTGGGAAAACAGGTGGAGCTGTGGGAAGCAGGGTCTAAGCTTCAAGGTGTGTCGCAGCCACACTCAGTTCTTGTTCAGCGCGGATATGGTGGAGGTTCCCCTTGACATAGCATAAATAGCTGATGCAGCTAAAAGTATGATGGATGTTTTCCTTAGCCACTGCTCAAGAAGCCAATAGAAGCAAGGAAATCTAAAATCACTCAAGATGCTCTGACTATTGGAGGCGGGTGCACTATGTTGCATGGGGACAGCATTCTTGGGAACTAGGAGGCCTACATTGTGAAGACGAAGAACTGCCTCAGAGACAAGGTGATGGAATCAAGATAAAGGTTCATTCTGTTAGGTGGACCCACGAGAAGGAAGAAGAGGGAGGAGAAGAGGCCATGTCACCCACGCACCCCTTCTCCTCTAAGGAAGGCGCCTCTCCCTCCAAGAGACACCACTTGGCATCCTTTGGGAGGGGATGCCTCTAACTACCTTCCTCTCTTCCTTATAAATACTCAAAACACACGAACACTATAAAAAAAAACGTTGAAGTTGAATTTGGAATTAAGAAGATTTTTGTTATCTCTCAGCTCTTGGATTAGGGGTTCTTTCTCCCTCATTCGCCTTTTGGATTAGGAGTTCCTTTTTTCTTCCGCTTGCCTCTTGGATTAAGGGTATCTTCTTCTTCTCGCCCTGTTGGATTATGGAGACCTCTCTTTTTTTCTCTTCTCCCACTTCGTCGTCCTTCCATCTTGTCATCATCTTCTTGTCCACACTTCCGTCACAGCCATTCTCCCTTTTAGCCATCTGCCATGTCATCAAGCCCACCTTTCTTTCCTCTTCTACTATCTCTGCCGTTCTGCGTTCTAGCCATCTGCCGTGTCATCAAGCCCACCTTTCTTTCCTCTTCTACTATCGCTGCCGTTCTGCCTTCTAGCCATCTGCCGTGTCATCAAGCCCACCTTTCTTTCCTCTTCTACTATCGCTGCCATTCTGCCTCTTCATCACCTGTCCCTTGCCGCCGTTGCCGCCACCTCCATCCTTGCTTTTGCCGCCTATTATTGCCCTCCCCTTCCATCACTGCAGGCCCTAGAAGCATCACCATTCCACTAATCATTTAGTCTCCTCGTCGTCCACCTTGTCGTCAGCCTACCGTCCCCGCCGTTTCACCTTTCGGCCGTCAGCCCCTCACGAAACTCTCTTTTCCTCTCTCCCCCTGACGTTCTCATTTTGCCCCTTTTCTCCCTCCACCCTTCAGTTAGTATTTAAAAAATTCACCCTAAATTCTCGTCAGCACGAGAACCTTCTTTCTTCTCTCTCCTACTGTCGCCACATACCCCCCATTTTTTTTACTCTCTCTCTCTCTCTCGCCGACGCCCTCTCATTTCGCCCCCCCTTTTCTCTCTCCACCTTTTCTTTCCTTTTCATTATTATTTTATCATATTATTTCACCTCACTTCTAAACCTCATTTATTCCTCCCAGCCCAAATAACTCAATCCCTTCGAACCGCACCAGTCCACTCTTTGGTCCGAACTACTCAGTGTGAACTTTGAAAAATCACTAACAAAGCTCGTGGAACTCCAACTAACAAGACTCTTCAATATATTAAAAAATCTCCATTATAAAAGTGTGTTAATTTTCAAATTCTTTATGAAGTTGGTCATTATTTTTAAATCATTGCTCTTAGATTTTGTGAGATTCATAAGATAGCTATCCTCATCTGAAAGATTAGTTGTCCAAACCCTAGTTGAGAAGCCTTGTTTGATTCTTTGAATTAAATAACCTAATAGGTAATTAATGATCTTAATTCTCCTAAAATTATGAAATCATTCGGATATTAACCCCTTAAAGTTCTAATTTAACTCAACTCTAAAGATTAATAAGTAGCTCTCTTTAAGGAGATCTATTCTAGCCCCTTTGTCCCGCATTACAAGGTGGCTGGTTTATTGACTAATTCTACGAAAAGCAGTTCTCTGTAACTGGTTTTTTGGTGGCCGTCTGATTTTTGGCGTGAGACTGCCATGAGGGTGAAGATACTGCTAATGCAGTAGACCGTGATGATGACTGCAGGGGCTCCAGTTAGTCTTATATTGTACATGTCTAGCGGCTAAGATGACGTGCATTCCATATTTTCGTAACCCAACTTGTATGTGGCTATGTTTGGGTTTGTTTCCTCGGGAAGAATTGAAAGGAACGCTTCGTATCGACAATGAATGGCTTCTAGTCCTTAGAATTTGACATATTGGCAAATTCTAAGGTGAGTTTGCCGTTATCCTCTGGCTGATGGATGATGCTCCTTGTGTACTTTGTCTTCGCGGAATTTATGACCCCCCAGAAGGTGAACAGAAGTGTTCCTCTCCAATCTATCAGTATTCAACACGTACCGAACGAAGAGTATCGTGTCAAAAACGGACGACATTTGTGTATTGATCCATTCTTCGAGAACGGACGCGAGAGACAGAGAGAGAAAATGGGCTGTTCCATGGGTTCTCTGCGGCCTTCTAGCGAGAAGGTTTGAAAGAGTGATTATGGGGCTCCAGGAACACTGGGTATCGATGTTAATATGAGTCACAGAACAGCTTACTTGGTCCATTATTGTTGACCTCGGATAGGCGCATGCTACTCTAGGTAAGAGACGTTAACCACTACTCAAAATGGTACCCCAAAGTTATCAGCTACCCACTACTGCTACAAACGGTGGGTGTGAGAGACTGAGCCCATTAAATCTCATTGAGAAGGCAGTCGTTTAATGCCGACTTAAATAGTTCTTCTTGTTCGTCTTTTAGTCCTTCACTCCCTCTTCTTCAAATGTGATAAAATCATTTAAGAGGAGATTTTGGGTGTCGCCTCATCATGGCCCAACAACTGAAGTAATGGGCAGGATTGAACAACACCATATGAGGTGCTTCAAAGCCATAGAAAATCTTTCAGTCTTGCCCTTAGATTAAAAAGGTTAGTTCCGTCATAGCATTTGGTTTTCAATCACGTGCATGATCTCTGTTCATCTACACTAATTATTTTCTTCCCAGGTCAAGCGTTCATAAATGCGCTCCCTAAAGTTACGCTTATGGATAAATGCACCCATGCTACAGCGCATTTTTAAATGCATAAATGCACCCAGATCTTTTGAGATTGTAATCAATGAAGAGAGATAGAGAGAGGAAGGTGTATGATCAAAAGCGTGGACCATTTCTCGATTTGTGCGTGTCATCCTTGCGCAGGGGCCATGCTAATCTTCTCTGTATCGTTCCAATTTTATCGGATGTCCCCGAAGGGACTATGATCAAAAGCGTAGAGAAAAAAGATAGGGTCTAGTCAGGAAACGTGGAGAAAGACAGATAGGTGTCTGGTAAGAGTATGGGGACTGGAAGACAGAAAGTGAGAGAAACGCTGACTCTGGTGAGAATATGAGGGCTAAATAAAGTTTAGGAACATGGTTTTCCTCTAATTCAATAGAAAAATGTAGCCTTTGGCAACTGATTGTCGTGCAACTCCTCTACACGAGAGCCATTCATTGTTAAACCAACTGGCAATCAACAGCTTGATCTCCATTATTGGTCAGGGGTTGACAGAGACAGACTCATTTGTGGCAGCCGCTCCACCACCGCGGTGAAGGGTCATAAATTCTCAGGAACGTGGCGCTTAGTTCGCCGCTGTTTGATAACCCAGTTCCCATTCACATCCCAAGAGAGGTTAGAGACCGGAATAATAGATCTACCGATTCGCTGAGATTGACTGGGGACCATTCTGCAAGGCCAGCTCTTGAACGCCAGGGAACCTTTACGTTTGACCTATCTACGGATTGACAGACTGATGCCAGCAAACTGCTGTAGATGCATCCACATGCAATGCTGGGTATGAGCTGCTTGAACGTTTAGTCAAAGTCAGGCCTATTACAGTTGTTACTATAGTAAACTAATTTTATACTTCTGTGTTCAGCTTTCATAGTAAGGGTAAATGGAACCGAGGGAGAAGGCCTCTACAGAGAGGACTTGGCTAAGATAGTCAAATCGCGAAAAACCTGACAATTTCACATTCTTTGATTTAATTTGATCTGCAATAACTCAGTCAATCTAACCTATTCTGAATCATTTCTAAGCCATCCAAAAAGACCCATTTGCTCGTCTTGTTCCTATGCAAGTGGGATGTAGGCATGGCTAAATCAGTGCATGTAGGCATGTAGGCATGGCTAAATCAGTGCATAAAAAATAAGGACAAGTGCACATGGAGTAGTGTGGGTGGGTGGTGTAGTTGAGCAATAATTCGTAAGCACACAGCCTGTCTAGGCAAGTGGGAGTGACCATGTATAGGTGGATAACTGGCCTGCAGCTTCAATTAGGTACACGGAAGTAAGATGTGCGACGACATGGGCAGATGGGTTTACAGTGGGGGACCAGGCGAGTTGGCACGTGGTGGCATGTGGGTTAGCGCAAGACAAGCCTGAAAAAGGAATACAAGAAGAGCGAAAATGATGTTGAAGGGTCTCTCACCCATATTTTATGACTATATCAATCACTGCAAGTGAAGATAGACTCAAACCGAGAATAATATCTTAAGTGAAAAAATGGCTTATATCACATGCCATGTACATTCGAACATATTCCGAAATACACTTAGCAGCAAAATGGAATCCGAGAAGAGACCATCGCGAAGTGTACGCAAGTTTTTCCGATCACGTTGCCAGCGCTCGATGAGGGGAACAGGGAAATTCAAAATGGAGAGGTGATCAGGGCGTATAATAAACCGAGGACGGGGAATTGGAGAGTGAATGGTTCCGAGGGGACGACTTTGGGGATGAGAGGAAAGATCGAAGTAGAAAAGACGATCTGGAGAGAGTAGTGTCTTAAAAATGGGGCGTCCAAATTTCGTCTTAAAAAAGGGGGTACGGACCACAAACGCCGGCCTCTGTTCACCTTTTACTTGTTTTGGCACGCACCGGCTAATGCAGTGGCCGACACACTGAACTTCTTCTGGTCTGCGTCTGTGAAGTATCTCCAACAGCTCACCATAAATAGAAGCCTCCACCCGTCTCATCCTTCCCAGACCGACCAGCTCCACCACAAAGAGCAAACATTTTCATTGGCAAAATTCGCTCGCGATGTCTTTCGGCATATCTGAAGAACTGCTGCCTGTCTTTGTACCTATTGTCACGTACTGGATCGCCGCGGGAATCTACAATTTGGTCAGCATTCCCGATGAGAAGCACAAGCTGTTCTCCAAGGAAGAGGAGACTCAGAATCTTGCCACACGGCACCAAGTATTCGTGGGAGTTGTCGTCAACCAGGCTGTACAGATGGCCCTAGCTGCCATCTACTTCATGGTCTAAATCTTCTCCTCGCAAGCATACATTCCCTGTCTGGCCTTCGCACTCATTAGACTAGAACCTGTCCATATCTAAAGGTTACATGACGCTCGTCCACCTGTCTGCAGTACTTGCAGAATGCTGGAGGGAAGGCGGCTGCCGCGGCCACGCCGCCACCCTCTCTTCTACGGATCGCCGGGCAGCTAGCGTCAGCGATGCTGATCATGGACGCATTGGAATACATCTGGCACAGGTGGACCCACGAGAACAGGTTCTTGTACAAGCACGTCCACGCTATGCACCACCAGCTCATCGTCCCCTACGCCTACGGTGCGCAGTACGTCCACCCGATGGACAGCCTTGTCGGCGAAGTCTTCGGCGGCCTCATTGCCACCTTCTTCTCCGGCATGTCGCCAACGACAGCCGCCGTCTTCTTCAGTCTTCTCAGCATCAAGGCAGTGGACGACCACTGCGGACTGTGGTTCCCCAACCACCCCATCCACCGGTTTATGTTGAACAACGCGGCCTTCCACACCGTCCACCACCAACACTACGGTGTCAAGCATAACTACTCCGTGCACTTTCTCGCCACGTGGGACTTGCTCCTCGGCACCTACTTGCCCTACTCCGTCGAAGAGAGAAAGGGTGGGGGATACGAAATCCGGACGCCCAAGAATTATTAACAAGGCGCCCTACTTTACCTTATAACGGAGAAGTCGTGGGTTATCTTTGATGTGGTCAAACAGCTTCTCATATGTACCTTCTAACATGCCAAGGACGAGCGCTTCCATTTCATTACCATTGGATCACTGTATACTCCCTGCTAAAAGGCTGTTTCATTCATCGCACAAGTTCGTTCATAGAGGGGTGAAGAAATGTACTTGCGGGAAGGAATCCTTTAATGTTCGGGTCCAGCTCTGCAATGTTTATATTTTACTGATCCTTCGATCACAGGCTGATTTTGAAAAGGATATGAACTTACCACGCAGGGAGGTATTTCAAAACGATGGAATTTCATCCGCATTATTGTCAAGATCGTCCCAATCCAAACAGCTATTACCAATGGTATTTAATTTAGCTTTACTCTTTAGTAAATTTTTAATAATATGTAGGAACCATAGAACTGAACAAAGTGGTGTGTTCTTTAAGATAAACACCATGGATTCAGTAGATAATATTTTTCTGATGACAAATACATATAACATAGATAAACTGATAGAATTATGATGCTAATTCAAAATTCATTCAATACGCATGAAGATTATTATAGATATGAAGATAAATGTAATTGAGTATAAATTACTGAAGAATAAAAAGTAATATTTTTAAATATCCACATGAAAATTGAAAATTTTCAATGAATTATGAATCCTAAAATTTGGAAATAATTTTTCTCAATTTTTTTATATTGTGAAAAATATTAATATATAGAGAAAGTAATGACTAGCATATCAAACTCAATGAGAATTTTTGGAGTAAAATATAGGTTTGAAAGCTATTTAGCATACCAAATTTCTACGATGTTAAATCATTCTGGTTATTGTAGATATAGAATCAATCTATTGAATCTAAAATGTTTTAATTTTTTTTCATGATTTTTGAATATTAATTAGTATGAATTGAGAACAATTTTGATATATTATTGTTCTCCAAACTAATGAAGGATAATATTAAAATTTTTATTTAGTATCCTCATTATATTGTTGACATATTTGGGGAGATTTGGATTAGTTTTGAATATAAAATCATTACTTTATTTCAAGCTATTTATTGACATTAATTTAATGATATTTTATTTTTTCCAAACTTGTTCGAGCTAGTAGGCTTCAGATATATATATATATATATTTATATATATATATCAGAGCTCAATGCATTTGTGTATTGGTTCCTCTAAGAGGATATATAAAATTTAAAGGAAATATCTATCTAACCATTTGAATTTCCAGTTAATCTAAAAAATTGATGTTGAGAAATGACATAAAATCAATTCAAAACTCTCCATAATTTTAGCCTCTCCCTAATTTTTAATTAGTTCACAATAATCATCTATGACCTCTCTACTATCTCAAATCTTACATTTTCTATAGAGAATTAGTTGCCAATTAGAATGACCCTTAAAGCTTAATCAAACTATAAGAGGATGATGAGTTGAGAAGCCAAAATTGATTGAAATGTGATTATTGTTTTAAGTGCCAACATCTTACATATTTAAACAACTTCACTATGTAGAGGGGGCAAAGAAAATCAAACACATTCAACGTCCACCTCATTGAATTTCTAGATGCATCTCAAGTCTATGTTTATAGCTAGAAATATCCCATAACTAAATTCTTTATTATATTTTACGAGATAAGTTTTTTGATTTTTTAATTTAATCACTTAGTTGATCCATGTAGTTAGTGGTGAGACTTCAAAAGCTATTTGTGTAAAAGAGAATTTTTGGGTAAAATCTAGCCAGAGATGAACTCTATAGTATATAGTTGTTAAGGTAAACACTTGTTTTAGTAAAACCCAAGAACAAGGTGTTATTAGATAGTAGATGTAGGTAGAAGGTTCCTTAGAGTCTTGCAGATTTAACCTAAAATATAATTTGCAGCACTATAACTCACATCATTCTTCTATAAGTGTAATTAGACACCCTTTGGAGACCAAAACATGCATAGTAAAAGACAAGATTATTCTCTCTACCATTTGATGTTTCTTCATGAAGTAAAATTTACATAGTGAACATTGAATCATTATGTGGCCTCATGTTATATTTGATTGGTGCTGGGCATAAATTTTCCCTAATAGCGAGTGAATGGTTCTTCAATAAAAATAGTTGAGAAAAAAAATGAATCAAAATGAGAGCCAATTAATTACATGATAATACAAAAAAAATATTATTGGTTCACTAACTCATCACTAAGTTTACTCCATTTTCTCTATTCTCATATTTGATGGCTTGGGAGTTTTAAAAGAATAGAAATATAACCTTGAATCCACAAGCCACAAAATTTACAAATAATTCCCTTGAATTCACAAGATTTACTCTAATACCACGGCATAATTAGAGTTGCAGAAATGGTAGATTTGAGCCTTGAATATAGAGCTTTGGATCTTGAAACTACCTCATGAATTCACAAGATGTAGAATTCCCAACCCTTGAATCCACAAGGATTCAAATGTAGTCCCTTGAACTCACAAGGGAGAAAAGCTTGAATTCATAAACTAAGCCATTCAAAGAGAACAAAATTGTATTATTCAATATGTCCTTAGAGTTACAACTTGCTAGCCTTTTAAAAGGCTCAAATAGGTTGTAACTCCGAGAACATAAGATTTTTTATGAAAAAAATTGAAAAACCTAACAGCAAGATAGTTGCTAAAATAATAACTTTGGCACTATTCACTTGATTTATTTGGCTAATCTAATTTTAGAACTTTTAGGGTCTTCTCATCTTTGAAGACCATTCTTCAAGCTTTTTGAACATCTGGATCAATAGTTTTTGGGCCACTTGGGTCAAAACAAATTGTCTTTCTCTTTTTTGGAAGTGGTGTCCTACATCAATGTTCAAATTAGGTTATCCAAGATATGAATCAACCTTTCACATAGAAGTCTAAGCTTGCTAGGTATCAATTATGTATGACATTATATAAATAAGGAAAGAGAAAATCACTAATAAGCCTAGAATCCAACAAGTAGTAAATAGGGATTCACCTATAGAACAATGATGGAAGATTTTGTCCATAAATAATATACTTAGAAGTGTTTTAATTAATGAGTTACATGCTAAGGAATTTAAGCAAGTTTTAACCTATGAATCTATCAAGAAAAAATATGGCATAAATTTTAGATGATTATTTAAAATAACTATGGTAGTCAATGAGTTTAAGATGTATCAATTGATTCAATAGTACAAGATATTTTCTTTGAATGGGAATATACCATTTCAAAAAAATTAAAATTTTTACAAATATTTTGAATGTTATAAAAAAATCTAGGGATATCTTACCCTATAGTGACCATAAGTCAATAAGATGTACCCTTGCCTCTAAGCACCACATAACAATAGAATAAAAGAAAATAGGAAACATTTCATGTCCTTGTTGCCTTGGTGGACTCAAAGTCACACCTATTAAATAGGCTAAGGATTTTAGGAAAATATCCTCAGATGACTTTTCAGATCCCTGTTGACTTATAAAATGGGCTTAGGAAAAGCAGATTGGTGTACTATAATTGATGTATCTGCTTCATTCTAAAAATGATGAATGGAAAGCTACCAAACCAAACCTCTAATGGAACCCCTAGTATCTCCAACTATAGTTTTCTAGACTTACCAAGAAAAAAATGACAAATGGTTAATTATAGATAAATCAGAAATAAAATCGAATCATGCAACAATATATTCTTATGTCGAGTATACAATCATCCATAGTATCCAAAGCCTTAAAGTGGAAAAATAACTGATCTATGATGTAGTGAATCCCTAGAAGAGCATTATCTAGTTGGCTAGTCTTTGGAACCTTACTAAAAGTGGATATTGCCTTCCCAGTTGAAGTAACATCTGCATCATGGTCTCAATTAGGAAGTGGTGTGAGTTCCTCGTTAAGTTACCAGGTCTTATCTGCAGCAAGAGTATCCTCAGCCTTTAATAGAGAGGCTTTAACTTAGTATTCAATGCCATTCTTAGTCTTGAGCAACAAACTATCATCTAAGTAGCTTTGAATCTAGATCATTGGATTTTAAGTGCTTCTATTTATGTACATATCTCAACTTTTTTGGAGCAATAGACCTTCCCAAGACAATTGCGCCATTAGAACTTGCTATAGGATTGTCTTGCCATGTTTTTGCATTACCAAAGCTGTCCCCAAATAACTTTCCTTGCTACACATTTGTCAAAGCAGCTATTTCAGTAGCATGTAAAGCTGTAGTTCTAACCTCAGTACCAGCCAAGTCCTAAGCAACGGATCCAACAACACACCTGAAAAGGAAATTCAAACACCATATTAGCAATTAAATGATACGAACTGGGTAAAAGGAAATTCCTCAAGCAGCCCTTAACACTCAACTCAAGTGAACTACGAGGATTACGTAAGGAAAAGTCATCTGGTACATAACTGCAACTCCAAAATTATTATACTATGACCGAAAAAATAGATATAAGAAAGAATGTAATAATATTACCCTAATTATTTCCAAGAAACGATGATCATTATACTATGGACCAGGAATGCACAGTGATCACGTGGTCAATAAATAAACCATTTTCATTGTTTTCTTCAAATACTGATGAGGATGTGCAAACAAAGGAATATCCATTGGTTTAGTAAATCGTATGTTAAAATAGTTCACAGATTTTCTCACCTATTTTGCATCAATTTTTATGTTCAACTTTGAAATCTATTTCATATGTTTCCGTTGTATCATTGATTTAGGAAATGAATCATTGTTTGTTCTACATGATAAATAATGTGATGCATGTATTATAAACATTTCTTTTATATTTATTTTATATTCAGTAATAAAATAAGTTTATATATCTAATGTAAAAATATTTTGTAGCTACTTCACAACTCCTTATTTATGCAGGGACTATAAATTTCTTAATCATATTTTTTATATTGTTTATAAGGCTCAGAATATTACCATTATTTCCACCTTTAGACTATGGGAGATGGGGTTACTTCTTGGTATTATTTTTTCACTAATTAGTACTATCTTAGATCCATCAAGGTACCAGATTTTTTTAGACTTGAACATCAAACCAGATTATAGAGCAGGACTTCATAAAAGGTTCAAAATATTGGAATTCATTTCTCAACAATTGTTTTTCTTGCATTTGAGTTCTGTTTATAATTCTATTTTCTACCTTAATTAATTCAATTTATATGGCTCATCCAAATTCGTTACATTAGTATTATATGATAACTTTAATATTATGTAATATATTTTAAATAGACTACTTAAATAAAACTTCATATAGTAAATAATTATTTTTAATGTAGGAAAAATAGTTTTAATAAAATAATTAAGTTAAGATAAATATCTAAAATTAGCAACATGTGTATTTTATTTTTATCATGTATCATTATGAGATATTAATTATCATTTAAATTCTAGTATTTATAGCTCATATGAATGATACTTATCTAATAACTTTTGTATATAAAAAGGTATTACAAAGTACTTGTTTGATTCTACTTCTATTTATTTTATTCTAATACTTTATACTTTCCCAGATTTTATGCTAGAATCATTACATTACGAAAATTTTCTTCCATAGAAATTTTAAAGTAGTTGAATTCTTTTTTGAAATCAATTAAGATTCATTAGGAGTTAGACAATGATGCTCGAGCATGTAGTTTTTTCAAGTGTAAATTTGTTTTCTATTATTATTTATGGACTGATCACGAGTTGAAGCATGGCTAGAAAAATATGTATTTTGAGCCTATACTATTTCTTTTTAATATTATCTTGTCACAATTTCTGATTTATTTAATAATTACAAGTTAAAAGGAAATACTTTCTCAATTTTTGTTATTGTTATTTCGGTGGCTGAAGCAGCTATTGTTCTAGCCATAGTCTTGTTGATCTATCATACGAGAATGAACATGTATGAATTAATAAAATTTTCTGAATAAAATAGTCTAATCTTACAATGATATAATACAACTAATTTGTAATCAATCGTTGTCTACATAGACACTAATTCTATACATTCATAATACTAATTCTAGAACTTATTATACAAATATAATTTATACATTCATAAATTAAATAAAATTATAATACATGCCATATACTAGTTATAGACACCAAGATAATAAATAAAATAAAGCTTCTAATATATATATTTACCATATATTTCTAAGTTTATATAAATCTCGTGTATCTTCATACATGTGTAATATGTCTAATACTGTGTATATTGTGTGTAATTTGATAAATTATAATGGAAAATTTAGTTAAATAAACATAGCATGATAAAATAAACAATATATTAGTATAATAATATAAAAAAATAAATACAATTAAATTAATATAAGATATAATAATAAGATTCAAATTCGTTCAAAAAAGTCTCACTAACATTATTTTATTAAATGTTACACTTATATTGGGAATTTTTTTATAGTTTTTTATTAGGATGTAACACTAGTGTTAGGATGTTACACTAGTATTAGGATGTAACAAGAAATTTTTTTATTATTATGTTAGCTGAAACAGAGACAAAAGGCTGCTGGCCTTTCTCTCATGAATAAATCTAGCGCTATCTGGGTTATTCAAATTTAGAGTTTACAGATCCAATGTCACATTCAGAAAAAAAATGATGATACTACATGCGGTTTTTTTTTTATTGATACATTGGTTTCTGTCAATAAAATGGTATCAAATGATTCAAGTGGATTTTTTTTTCTAATGTATCAGCAACCTAGGCCTAAATTCCATGTTGTCTCATACCATAAATAAACAAAGACACTAAAAAACAATGTTGCATTGTTGTGGCAAGTAAAATAATATTAGTCTGCACATTTCGGATATGAGCATGTTATTCATCAATTATTTAATCAATAGTTTATCTTTTAACAAATGATTTAACTACATTTAACATTATTTCTCACTTTATTGCTATGGCAATAAGGCAGTGGATCACTGCTTAGATGACTTTAGTTCATTTAAGAACAATATATTTATATTGCTGATGCTTTTGAATCCGCGATTGACATATCTTCATTTTTAATTTATTATGTGCGTGCATTAAAATTGATTTAATACTTACTTCAATCAGTATAATAGAGGAATATTAATATTTCTAGAAGACAATGAATCTAATAATGTGTTTTATCAGATTCAAAAGAAACAATCAAAACTAAACTAGAAAATTAAAATTGAAAGAAAATAAGATTATAATAAAGTAAACTAAAAGTGAAAGTCAAAATGGTACTTTACTAGAATAGATTCAACCTGTCGTTTCTATATTCCTCAATTAAGAATGACATCCAGGGACTAATAGTATATTCCCGACTTATAGGGAGAACCTCCGTCCCTCACAAGAGGTTAATCTCCATTTATAAGAGTGTCGGGGTGATGCTCACTGGTTCCCCTGTTAATGTAACTACCTCCTGAATCATCTACCATGCGGAGACGCAACTCTTCAATGTTATAGTTGCTGCTCACTATGTGTCCACATCTCCTATTTTGTGTTGTATCATGTTGCCTATGTTGCGCACTACGAGTCACACCACATCATATAGTGCCGTGCGCCCCCAATCACCCAACACGTGCTACACTATATCAGTGTCATGCCACTTCCTGCCAGCATTGGGTCTCATTTAAGCTTCATATGGTGCTCACTTAAGCTTTGTCTTGTAGTGTTGCCCATGTAGTGTGCTGCACCGGCTCCATGCACCTTAGAGTTGTCACACTACATCTTACGTAACTTTTTGAAGCTGGTGTCTGCCAATGAGAATGAATAACCTCCTTAATTTCATTGTTGTAGATTCAGCCAGATTCCGTTATCCTAGTGAAAGTGAAGAAACCTTCAGCAAGTTGCCCGCTTCGAAGCTAGCAAACCGCGTCGGAGCGTCTCGAGAAAACCTGGGCCATCGACCCCACCATATTCCCAGTCTTCCTTCCGTCCGACCAAATCACTGGCCCGTGTTGTTCACGTCTTCCCACCGGCTTCGCCTATAGACCGCTACACTCTTGCCCAGAGGAACCCCCGCACCGCATCGTCCGTCTGCAGGCCTATATTAGGCCCTTGTGTCTGCAAGGCATCCGCCCCTGATTTGGGTACCACATCGGTCCTTCGACCAGCATCAGATGGCAAGTTGAATGGGGGACCTCTGTTTGGGGACCGCGGCGGCACGTCGTGTTGGACGAAGAGGAAGCCCCTTCTAGGAGGACTACGGGCCTCAACACGAATGGATCCACAACATTGAGATCGAGGGTAGTGTGCAAAAACTCGATAACGTGCTGGCTCCGAATTTGTGTCTAATTTGAGAAATTTATATTCTGATAAACGTGTGCGCGTGCTCTGTTTCCCTTTGGTGTTTTACTCTGCAATTGATGAATGCTTTCGTTATGTTCCTTGCAAATTTATCTCTGCTGTGGCTAGAAACTGGCGTTGTTTTCTTATTTTCGAACCCTGTTCGTAAATTACAGCTCAAACTTCGGAGGAACTGAGAGATGTTGTGTTAGGATGGAGGCCAGAGGAAAGCGGCAGTTGCCTTTGTGGATGCTGAAGGGAGGTGATCATGAAGGACCTGGACATGAGGACAATCGAGTGTCATTGCAGCACCAACAGAAGTTTAGAACAATTGCCAAAGAGTCTGGAGAAGAGCTTATCAGTAAGAAGGCAAATTTTTCAGACGAAGCTCCAGGCCCTGAGAAAAGGAAAAGGAAAAGAGCCGCAACATCAAGTCTCTTAGATGTCAAACCTAGCATTACTAGCTTCAGAAAGGCTGGTGTAGTCAGGAAGAAATCTTCAGAAAGAAAAACCGTGGTAAATACAAGTACACTATGCATGAAGTCTAGCCATGGAAAAGTTAAACAGGGTAGAGCTGTGTCTGATGAGACTGATGGTGATGTGGAACTTACAGTGGATGATCTAATAATCATTGCTGAAGAGGTATGCTTTTTCATTACTGAACATAGAGAAATGCTGGATTATTAGTGTAATACCTTTAGCATGGGTTCACCCCTTGACAATTTTATGTTAGTTTTGTGTCACGTAGACTAGGTCCTGCCTGGTCATATTTAAGCAAGGTCTTGTCTATGTCAGAAGGTTATTCATTATTTAGTTAAAATATATATTTTGACTATAATGTAGTATAAAATAAAAAAAGTAACAAAAAGCTCAGTCTACCTGATACCATAAGAGCAAGGTAAACACAGAAGCCAGTCAGTCCATTGAGCTTTTATCCTCATCTATGCAGGTCACTGAGAAGCAAGTGAAGGGATTAGACTAAAATGTCTCTTCTATCCTTACTGGTCATCCACTGCTTGTCATGAAGATTAGTCCCTACACCCATTCCTTTTGACGAAGGACACAAGTATTCTTTGATCCTGCCGCAAAATCTGTGAGCTTAGGTTGGAACTTCTTTCTTCCAAATGGAAGGTGATTCAGCAGTCAAGATTAATAGGCTTTGAACAATTTCGCCAACTTCTTAGCCTCTAGGTTCAGTGCTATTTTTACGTTTGAATGCAATGGTTTAACGTTATTTCTCTATCTGAAGTTATATACTGTCCACGATCCATTTGCAGATATGGATGTGCCATTGTGGCAAACGATCCCCATTTCATACCGGGATATCTAAAGTTTTGTGGCCTGCAGAGCCTCTTCCTATGCTTAAAGCATGCCCTATGCCCTTCTCCTTGTGGCCCTTTCATCCAGTTCATATCTTTGAAAAGAACTAGTCTCCAGGATATTGTACTCCCTTCCTAAGGACAACTTTTCTCTTCTCATTCTAGTTCGCTCTCATTCATATATCCATATAATTGACTACTCGTATAGTAACCTTAAATATGTGGAGTATGATGATTTCCCACGTTCAATCCCTTTCCTCTGCTATAGTTTAGTTGAAGTCCTATTTTCCTGTGTCGATGGTATATAATAGATGAGTCAATGATGAAAGTTGTTACTAGAATAGCAAAAAGGAGTTGGACATCTATCTGATTTCGTGCTGCTTTCTTTATTCAATGCATGTTGCAAAATCCATCACCAAGTGAAAGATAGTCTTTGAAGGTTAAAGGTCACCTATGAGACACTTCATCATAAGCCATATATACTAGTAGGTGGTGGTGAATTTAAATTTTGTAATCAGATTTGACGGAGTAGGCTGAAATTGTGTAAACTGAATACTATTTTACTCATGATTACAATGAGATTGGACTAGTTAGGTGATGAATTATGTTTGGATTGCAATTTCTCTGTTCTCAATGTTGAACCAGGTGCTTAGGTTGATAAATATGGGGGTTTGAGATAGTGTATCTTCATATCTCTCACTTCCTATCTTCATATCTATCCCTTGTTTGATGTTTAATTGAAGAATTTCAGGTAGGTTGAAAAGAAGTATCCCTTGTCTGTCCTCTAATTTTTGATGATACAGTTTTGTTTAAAAGAACTGTTATTGAGAGAAATAAGACCATAAAATGGTTATTGATGTTGCTGGAAATGGTGCTAAGACTGCACTGTGGAGTTGGAAAATTGGGAATAATGAGAAGAGAGGGACAGACAGATGGATGTCAGACACACAGGAAAGCCAGAAAGGCCAGGGCTTACGAAAAGGTAAGTGTTTGGGCAGAAGCAGAGGGGAGACAAGATGCGTGGGAAGACCATGGTATTTAATGTGAATAATGACTCCCAGTAAAAGCTAAATGTTGCGATCCTTTAATGTGGTTAGGTTGGGTACCAATGCTATGGATGCCAAGATTTTAATGTTGGTTACAGAAGTAAGGCCGGAAGATATTTTTTTCAGAAAATAAGAAAATCTGAGAGACCCCAAAAGGAGGGTTAGTTATCAGGAGAAGCAACATCTGCAGAAAACCTTGTAGATCCCATGGGACTCCAGAGTAGAGCGAAAATATTACCACTGGTGCAAAGTTTGGTAATGAGTTTCATATACCTGCAAAGCCAAACGTGGGTTCTGTTTGAAAATATTTTTATGAAAGATTCAGAAGAAAATGCGGATGTAGTGTCTCAAATGACTGCAGGATAGATCCAACTCTGGTTCATACTCTAAATCATTGGTGCAGTCTAAGATTTGAACAAAAAACTCCTTTATCTTTGGAGGTGCTTTTTTTTCATTTGTTATAGCTCCTAATAGTATTTTTTGATTAATAGAAACAATAAAAATTTAGAGGGGGCACTTGGATTGCTGAAAATATTCTTTCTACGAAAACTTCAAGAAATCTGTAATCTGTCGTAGGACCAACAACTATATCTGAGAAAGTGACAGTAGTAGACTAAATGGTAAATGGGGGGCAATTGGATTATTGAAAGTATTCCTGTTATAAAACATTAAGAAATCTTTAATCTGTCATGGAACCAGAATAATGATATCCATGAAAGTTGCAGTAGTCAGCTAAATTGTAAATGCAATATACAAGTTATTAGGAATTTTTCCAAATGGAGTAATTTTGAATACACTGAGCTCTTTCCGTAGACTCCAAATCTCCAAATCTTTCGGTAGACTCCAAATCTTCATATACTTAACTCTTGCAAAAGAAGATAATTAATCATCTCTTTGGAGACTATTTGGGATGTCTTTGGAGACTAAGATTTTTTACGTTTAAGTTATCCACTGTAGATTGGCATTCTACATACCTAGTAGCCTCTGATCATAGTTGGTGGAAGATTCTCCTACCAGCTTTCTTCTTGGCTTTATTTGTAGGAAATAAATAGCATGAAGGCCGAATTAATTTATGAAAAATGCAATAAACAATAAACACAGGTATGTGGGAAACCGGTTGATGCCTGCTAACGGTGACCTAGAGTCCGAATCAGTTTTTACTTGTTTACTCTCAATTATCTACCATCTTATTAGATGACCACAAGAAATTTGTGACTTTTTGTTGTGCTATTTCAGTTTCTTTTTTCTCTCTCTCCTTTTTGCTACTTTAGTTCGATTTATCTTAAATTTTCTTTTAAGTATAATATTGGCAGAAATATCCTTGAAAAAGAAACCAAAATATCATATGCTCTGTTACATTTAATGAGGTGGTTTGGTGAACAATCCTGGCTGTTCATTCAACATGTAGTAAACATCTATCAGGAGAGTAGTTTGTTGGTAACGATGTCCATAAGTCCATCATGAATTTCCATCATATTTCGGATCTCTCTAGGCTTTCTGCGGAATTTAGGATTGCATTAACTATGTTGGCCATCGTGGCAAAATGGACTAGGACGCAGCCTCAGGGATATTTTCCATCGTATTAGACTTCAAAATTTAAAGTCCTGGAAGTTTTGAAAGAAGTGAATTCTAAGTTGAAGGATCTTCTTGCTCTGAACCCAGAAAAGGCACAAGTAGGCCACTGGAATTTAAGCTCACCATTTTGTGGACTGTTTTGTCAAAAGTCACATAAATGTTGACTGTAATATGAGAGTGACCCTTAATATATGTATATATTCATGCGATATATGCCAATGAAAGATAGATTTGGTTATTAACGTATTCTTTTAATGGTTTCTGGTGTTGTGGGGGATGTGCTTTAACGAAATGGAACTAGAATAGATGGATGCGCGCATCTCCTTTTCCAATTCTTAGGACCTGATTTATGGGAAAACTTTGACATGATTTTATAGGTGTCTACATAGGGATATGCCTTATGTCGTTCACTCCTCGTCTTAGTAACCAAAATGCTTTGAAAAATGTGCAAACGAGAGGAGGGCCAAGTTGAATGGGGTTTTGCTATAGCCAAAAAGTACACTGATAAGACCCTTTTGATATTTTGGCAATGTCGTGTGGTCTTCATCTATGGAGGTCTTTGTTTCTCGTCAGTAGGAAAATGATAATGCTTCAGAATTAGGTGAAATGCGAAAAAGCGAACTTCTGGCCTTGAATGGGGATAGAAAAGTAGTATTTGAGGTGAGAAATGTCTTCTTTTCTGTGAATAGGATTGTCACTCGCCAGTGTTACATATCAAGGATGATCTTGCATTTGTTGCGGAAGGACATAGACACAAGGATAGTGAGTTGTTGTTGGGTTTTAGGCATTGACCTTTGGTATGTTGGACTAGGACAACTATGTCATTGCCATGTGGATAAATCGATTTCTATGAACATCGATGATAAACCAATACGTGGGCATGACCTTCTTAAGATTATTTGAATATTAATTTTATGAATTGAAAACCAACAATAATGATATTAATAACAAATGATTAATGTAGAGACTAGATTTTTTAAATGAGAATTTGAAAAAACAAGTAACGTTCTGGGAAACTATATTGATTTCATTCTTTTAAATTACGCTTTCTTATGTTATTATAGTTTTGAGGTATATGACCATGATGGTACAATATTAAGTTAAACTTGTTGGAGTTGAGGATCTCCCTGTGTTAAATTTGCCTACTACTGCTGCAAATGTTAGTCAGATTCCTCAATCCCACACTAGGTGAAAAATGTTCTTATTCATTTTAAAATGATTTAAGTCCCATGTAGCACATCAGATTGTGCAAGTTCCATTTCCTCTTAATGTACAGGTAAAATGTTGCGAACTTTGCGCAATTATTCCTTCCTCCCTTCAATTTATTATGGCAGCCATTAGGTAGAACTCTCCAAGGACTGTGGAGAAGATCAAGAGATTGGTAGTGGAACTCGGAATAAAGATATGTAAATCGTATAAACAGTGGAGTTACGATATCCCTCCACCTATTTATGGCATCAGGAACTTTCACTTTACGACTGATCACTGAGTGACAATACCTATGTTCAGAAATGCTGTATGGTCAAAAAGCAGTTTTCACCTCGTACATCAATTAAAATGTCAACCACCACGTAGGGGTCTGTACTTATTGCAAGATGACGATGCACCTAAAAGTTCTCCATTTCATGAAGTAAATACTCTATCTTCTGATCAAAGAGTAAAAGGTACTTTTATTCAATACGCAACAAATTGCTTGCGACACAACATTTTTCTAGGAATATGGTGGTCATTACGTGGTCAATTTCCATGTGAACTGGACATGAACTGTTTGTGAGTTAAGACAATGATCTCTTGGTGTGTAGGCAGGTTAGATGATAAGCCGTTAAATGCATTGTAAGCAGTGTTAAAGTGATGATCAAATTTGTCTCTGTCAAGCAAGCTGCCAGAATTCCTTTTCCTGAGTACTTCACACTTTTCACAGTTTGGAAAACTCGTGGCATTCCCCATTCTCATGTAAGGGAGCTTTTTCGCAAAGTCCTCATGCTATGCTTTGTTAATGTATTGGATCCTTACTATTTGATTGCAGTTTGTCAATTGTGGCAAGGGAGGGGAACATTCACCTACAGCTAAACATTCGCTCAGTTCTGGTTCAGGCGCGGATATGGTGGAGGGTCCCTTTGACATAGCTCAAACAGCTGATGCAGCTAAAGATATGCTGGATGTTTTTCTTGGCCCTCTGCTCAGGAAGCCAGTAGAAGCAAGGATACCTGAAATCACTCAAGATGCCACAACTGTTGGAGGCGGGTGCAGTGTGTTGCATGGGAACAGCATTCTTGAGGATGAGGAGGTGCGCATTTTGAAGAGGAAGAGTAGCCTCAGAGACAAGGTGGCTCTTTATCTTGACTGATTCTACAACTTGCAGTGCTATGTAACTAGCTTTTCCAAAGACCGTCTGATTTTTGGGGTGAGACCACCATGAGGGTGAAGATACTGCTGTGCAATTGCCTGTGATGATGACCGTAAGGGCTCCAATTAGTCATGCCGTGCATGTCTAGCGGCTAAGATGGCGTGCATACCATCATTCTGAAGCCCAATTTCTACGTGGTTGCTTTTGGGTTTGTTTCCTAAGGAAGAATACTTAACATCGGCAGCGGATGACCTCCAGCCCTTTTAATTTGATATATGGGCATCTGTACACAGTCAAACTGATTGTCATAGATATGGGGATGAGCTTGCTGTTATCCTCTGGCTGATGAGTCATCCTCCCCATGTACTTGTCTTTGAGCAAAATCAGACCAAGTTGAGGTAATCTGTGACACCCCAGAAGGTGAACAGAAGTATCCCCTCTCAAGTTATCCATATTCAACACTCACTGGGCATTGCAATCGAGAATGGAACGACATTAGTGTCATTGGTCCATTCTTATTGATAACGGACGAGAGAGAAAATGGCTATTCTTTGGGTTCTCTGCGGCCTCCTTCCAAGAAGGCTTGAAAGAGTGCACAGAGCGGCTCCAGGAATGTAAGGTATCGTGTCAGTAAGGGTCTCAGAGCAGCGTAGTCTGCCTATTATTGTTGACCTCAGATTAGCGTATGCAACTCTAGGAAAGAGGCACGTTAACCTCAGAAACTTCCTGCGGGGCATCAGTACAAATCTGGATAAGCCAAACCTTCTTCATGAACTAATCAACAAGCAATAGTTTTGTTAGGGTTTTGGGTGCATCTTATGTGTTCTGGCACTCCCTTTGAGTACAGACATTGAACATAAAACCGTTGCCTTACCTTACAACTACTACATATACAGTTCAAACTAATTAATTCATGATTCTAGTTGGTCAAACTTACAAACACTTGGCTCTAGCTTGCAGTCCTGTATTCATGGTTCTGGATGTGGTCTGTGCATCCACCCAACGACAAGCTTCTAGTCACAAGCCTCTATCACTAGAAATATGTAAGAAAAGAGAAACGATGGTAATAGGTTGCAAGTAAAAGCCCCATCAAAACTTGCCTTAAACCTTTAGGTAGAAAGCTTGATGTTTTGGTGTGGAAGAAACTTGAATCTTGCTTTTTTTTGAGGGAGTCTATATACTTTTGTGATTGTGCCCTTGCTTGGTTTAGTGGAAAAGTATTGTTTTTCTAAAGATCAAGATTTAAATTTTTTGAAGAATGAAATATCTGAATATCACGCTTTCACAATCTAGTATATAGTTCAAAATATTCATTGAATCATTTGAAACACAATAGTAGTTTGTTAGTTTCTCAAGTTTGTCACGCACTTACAAATTTTTTTAGGGTGAATGAACTTCTTTACCTTTATCCTAACTAGGCTATTGACCCTTTTCCAACATATATATAGATGAGAGAAAAATATGACTTTTCTCTCGATTTTCTTTTATATTTTATAAAATAATAAAATAGAATAGCATCATCTTCAAGGGATAGGATCCTTGATGGCTTACATTTTACCTTTTACATAATTTTTCCTCATCAAAATTATTATCATCTAACCCTTTACCTAATTTTTATGTTTCTTAAACATAAAAATGAAATGAGATGGTTGAACCTTGAAGATTTCTTTGAATGGAGTCAACAACTTGTTGATGAATGCATTGAAATCTTACAATAGCATAAGGAGAAATGTTCATTTTCCAGGCTCATTTAGGTGAAAGAAACGATTTTTCAAATATATTTTTGTTAACAGTTGTCAGATATCACTATTGAACCAAATGTTTGTGGACTGTATGCAAGTCAATATAGTGTTAAAAAAAAAATCAATTAGAGAAAATATATAGAAAGGTTATTGCTTTGTATTCCTCTAAGTGATATAATTTAGGAAAAGGAACCCTTAATAGAAAGAGGATCAACACTCTTAATGAATAAACAAGTGACCTGACTCAACTAATAAGAAAAGACTTGACACTGATTCTAGCAAAGATAACACTTAAAGGAATTAAGTTGACTTACTACATGATAACCCAACACATTATGAGTAAACTATGCACGAAGATAAAATACTATTTCACATGACAAACATATTGAAAGTTGCTGCTATCATAAGTTTTTTATGATTTTTAAATTGCAAGTGTAGTGTTTTCACTTTCTTGTATGATGTGTTGATTCAGTTGGTACATGGCTATTTCCTAAACTACATAACTAGATAATACAAGATAAAGTGCTATAATATGAAACTAGATGTTGGATTGAATATTGAGAACCATTTTTGACCTTTGTAACTCAAATTTATGGAGAAAATGTTTTGATATAAGGATTTATGCCTCCAATAATCTAAGGGAGAATTTCACTCTCTAGAGCAAGCATTTTCACACCTTGCTCAAGCACAATAAAACAAACTCTTCGAAATAATATTTTTAACTCCATGCCCATGCATCAAATCCAAAGGAAGTTGTGCACCAAATTTTTTGAGAATATTTGTCCTTTAAATTCTTGTATGTTACTATTTAATGTATTGACATCAATCTAGAGCTATCAATCTATCATAGATCAGCTAGATGGTAATCTACTTTAGCTCCCTAGAGCTATGAATCTAGAAAATGCATTTGGGGAACATTTGGGTTTGCAAAACCTTTCAAACTTGGTGGAGGCCAGCTAATGCCTTGGTTTTCAACATATATATTAATAGGAGTTAGTATAACCTAAAGATATAGGCACTAAAGAGTGAAGCTACTTGCCACTCTCCTTTCATTCATAAAATTACTTAAACAACATGCATTTATGGTTTACCTTTGGTTGAGAACTGTATTAAGTTCTCTTTATTAGGCTAATATGATCCCTACCCTAATTTTCTCCATTTTTTCACATTGTTGTACAACCTCCTAGCCTCAATGGTAGCTTTCTACTAACCACAAGGGGTTAAAAAGGTTGCTGAGAATTTTTAAGACTTAATTGTAATAGATTTTTTTAACTGAAAATTGTTGGATTATTTTTAATGAGTATGGTGACATCTTGTCTGAGTTTTTGCAAGTTTAGCTCTTCTTGTGATGTCTTGAATCATTCCAACTTGGAAACATCACACACTAAACCACTATTTTGACCGTACCATGAACTAATTTCATTTTCAATGGTTTAAAATGAAAGATTGTAAATTTTAATGGGGCAAAGGCTTCGATCATGAAAGTTATCAATATAGAGTTTTGCATTAAGACAAAAGCATATGCCCTTTATCTTGTATCTAATGAACATTTAGAATACCAATTTCATACAAGTCCCATAACTTTTGTCGAGAGAGTTTAAATTACCATTTTTTGAATACACATTAAATTTTATTTTTCAAGTATCTTCGTTGGAAATATTTTTTTGAGCGAAAGATGTTATTATATGTGATTTAGAGTGATGACGTGAAGATGTGAACATAATATTATATGTTGAGAATTTAAACATGAAGATCTATGTTTAGTTTGTATGTGAAATTATTCTTTACTTAAAAACTTTATTATTCTTGATACCGAAAATTAATGTAATGATTACAAGTTCTAGGAAATATAAAATGAGTGGTATAAAGTGCTGAAATGAAACTTCAGAGTTAGCCTTACATATCTACATTTGGTTCATGATGATTTTGAAATTTTTTTGTACGTTAAATGATTATTTTTTCTCAGTGAATATTCATAGATCATGGTAAAGCCTATTAGATCAATCTTTTTACATGCCAGAGCCATTATAATTGGATAGATAATTTACAACTTGAAGGGTATTTGTCAGTTTAAAGCTAAAAAACATATCTATGGAATTTTCTAAGTTTAGAGATTTAAGATTGAGGAGGAAGAAAATAGACAAAAAACTGAATCAAATTAAATTTATAAATTAAGCCTTTCTTGTCCATTTGAATATTTTTCTCAATTATCTATTATCTGGTTCTTTCATACTAACATTTGGCATCATCAAATGAGAAGAATTTTGATTGAAATTCAGAGATCAAGTCATAATCATAGAGATGAGAAGTCTTCAAACATTCTAGGAGGTTTTACACAACAAGAGGATCAAGAGATCAAAGCAATCAGTCAACCTCTTTATCAAAATTCATAAATTCGTCAACATCCATTCTCTCTAGAATTGTCACATGCATTGACATCATTATATTCCTTTAAAGTTAACATTGTGATGAATACATAATGTTTCTAGGGAGATAATGCCATAATCAGCAGTTGGTCATTTTATAGATGCAGATCTAAAGAGAGTTCTGGGTGAAACTAAGGGACTGCACTCTTTTAATCAGTGGTCCCGCACTAAGTGCTTAGTGGAACTGAAGACCAGGATTTCTTTGGAGAGTCAATGAGACCCAACCACTATAAAATTCGTTATGCTCTTTATTAATCATTTGAAGAATTAAGAAAGAAGAAACAAAGAGTTAGAAAAGAGAAGATTAAAAAAATTAGATCCAACCACTTCAACCTTCCTCTGCTTGATCTAAGTGCTCCATTATGTCCAACAATCCTAAAACTTGAATATTCTTTTTTCTTATCTAATTGTACTAAATTAAAAAATCATCTTTAAGTTTTAATTTATAATTGTAGATTTTCCAAGATGCAGCTGATATTTATGTGTTATAGAACAAGCCATGGCCTTCATATCATAATCATGATAGATCTTCATGGTCACTTCTTCTTGTAATAATGAAGAAATTTTGTGGAGCTACCATTGTCTTCCTCTAGTTTTACTGCATAATTTTCATATTTTGAAGAATTATTAAATTTGGCATTTCAATAGTCCTCGTGAATCTGCATCCCATTGAGGCTCTCAGAACATCACTTTATTCTAACATTTCTTTGAAGTTTCTTAAATTTCCTCGATATCACATTAATATTGTTACCCTCTCAAAAATAAAATGTCTATAGTAGAACTTATTTATTTTTATGAAAATCATTTAGTTATTTTTATGAGCATCACAGTCTTCTTGGTTCCATCGATTGGCTGAGTAAGTTGGTGGGCACAATAATAGGCACATATTTGTGTGGTTGGCAATATACGCAAGAAAACTAGTGTAGATGCATGCACATGCAATGATGGGTATGGGGCTGCTTGTGTTTGTACGCATAATCAGGTCTATTAGTGTTGCGACTGTAATAAGCTGAATTTATAATTGTTTTCAGTTTCCATAGTAAGGGAAAATGGAACCAAGAGAGAAGGCCTCTAGGGAGAGGACAAGCCTAAGGAGTCAAAACTCTGAATTCTAACAATTTTACACTAATGATATGCATTGACTCGTCTAATGCTTAGAAAAAGTATATTTATGTTTTTTATAGAATTCTGCATTGATTAAGATTTATAAAGGCCAATTTCTCCCTCTCTAGGTTGTTCGTTTGGCCAATGCAAACCAGTCACAGAGTAGACAAGGAGGCAGGCTGAATCAGTATAAAACAAATAGACATAAGTGCACATGGAGTAGTGTAGGTAGAGGGGGGGGGGTAGTTGAGCACTCATTGGTGAACAAAGTAGAATATTCCCTAATGGACGCGCCCACGTATAGATATAGGTAAACTGTAGCTGCGGCTTCAAGAAGATGTGCAATGGCATGGCCACAGATGGGCATACAGTGGCTGGTGGAGGGATTAGCGTATGAGGGCCGGTGGGTTAACACAAAACTGGCGTGAAAATGAATGGAAGAAAAGCAAAGCTAATGTTGAAGGCTCTCTCACCCATACTTTTTGGCTATAACGATGACTACTGCAGGCGAAAATAGAATTTATCGTTCATAACCTTCAAATGAGAACTATAAGTCGTTCAATAGTATGTAAATTACACACCAACGCATTAGAACCCAGATCAGGAGTGATTGTGTCAAATTAAGGAAATAGACAGCTTGCATGACGACCAAACGCAAGATTCGAGTGGTGATCAACGCGCGTAATAAACCGAGGATGGGGACTTGGAGAGGGATAGGAAGAAAGAGGCATGGAAAGGAAGAATGGCGTCTTAAAAAGGGGGCTGGGTCAGAGTCAGACGACCTGGAAAGAAAGGGACGGTAGCGTGAGTAGGATAAAGGACAAGTAGAGAGGTCCCTGGACAGAAACATATGCGCTAAAATCGACAGATCAGCAGCATAGGGGACCAGAACCCGAACACCGGCCTGTGTTAACCTTTTACTTGTTTTGGCACACACCGGGTACTGTAGTAGCCGACACAATTGAAACTTTGTCTGGTCTGCGATTGTGAAATATCTCCCACAGCGCCATCATAAGTAGAAGTCTCCGCACGTCCCACCCTTCCCAGACCGATCAGTTCCACCACACAGAACAGACATATTCCTTGGCAAAATTTGCTGGCGATGTCTTTTGGCATAGCTGAAGAACTGCTGTCTGTCTTCGTACCGCTGGTCGTGTATTGGATCGCTGTGGGGATCTACCATATGCTGAGCATTCCCGCTGTGAAGCACCAACTGTTCTCCAAGGAAGAGGAGAATCAGAATCTTGCGACCAGGCACCAAGCATTCTTCGGAGCTATCGTCAGCCAGGCGACAGAGATGGCCCTAGCTGCCATTTACTTCATGGTCTAAATCTCCTCCTTGCAAGCATACATTCCCTGTCTGGCCTTCGCACTCATTAGACTAGAACCTATGTCCATATCTGTAGGTTACATGACGCTGTCCACCTGTTTGCAGCACTTACAGAATGCCAAAGGGAAGGCGGCTGGACGCCTCCACCCTCTCTCTGCTCCAGATCGCCGGGCAGCTAGCGTTAGCGATCAAAAAGGGTTGGAGAATTGCCAGAAGACCACTGAAAATTTGGACAAAGGTGGTTGGAAGAAAAGGCGTTACTGAAGAGGAATGGGTAGAGAGTAGTTATTGGTTTTCTTGGGTGTTTTAGAGGCCTTCTATCGTTTCAATAGATACCTGTTGACAGGAAGTCCAGACCAGAACCTTCAAAGCCGCGTTTCCGCGAGCGCAGATAGCACTATGAATGAGCGTCCGCATCACCGACCGGCGGCAGCTGCTCAGAGGTGCCGCCGGCGGTCGTACATTTGATCGCCTCCATGGCAATGAACTCGACGGAGAAGCACCGGCTGTTCACCGAGAAAGAAAAGGAGACGTAAAACCTGGCCTGCAAGAGGGCTTTCTCGTCAACTACTGGATCTAGAACCCGATAAAGACCGCCTTTCCTGTTCACCCTCAATCCGTCGTCGCCGGCGCTACCCACCATCTTCCTCCAACCTTTGCATCAAAGTAGCGGACGACGACCACGGGCTCCCTAGCCCAACTCACCAGTTCACTGAATCCGGACTGCCAAAGGACCGCCGCCGCCGACGCCGGAGAGCTCGCAATGATCGTCCAGGTACTGCTGATGAAGAGGCTTCCGCCGGGACCCAGTTGCCCTCTCCGTTCTCCATGACCACCGCATGCAGCGACGGCGGTCTAGAGAAGAATAACACAAGATAAAACCCCCATGCGGAGAGGTTGAAGAAAAAACAGCCGTCTTTCATATGTAACCATCCGATTCAGGAGTCAATAAGAGGCGACTGAGCTAAGCTATGGCCAGAAGACCCAGGTGAAGGTGGTCAACCAACGAGGGTAAGTTTAGACATGCCAGGGGAATCTACATCTAATTTCAAAACAGATCAAGAACACCCAATGGATTAAACACTTCAGGGGCTTCCCCAGTTCTTCTGCAAATAATATCTCAGCACTTGTCCTTCACACAAAAACGTACATCGCACAGGGGAGAGTTTATGATTGAGGAAAGGTACACCAGAGCATCCATCTATTGTACATGGCGCTCACCCCAGATGAGGACGATGCCATATCTCCCGACTCTGGGAGAAGCCCCGAAGCTCGGAAAGAATGCCCACCTGGTTTAACTCGAATCTACGACTGAGATTCACACCACAACATACACTCACTCGTGTATCCACCAACGGCACAAATATACAAAATGAAACCTCTCAGGAAACACCACCTACCCATCGTTTCCAATCTCTCTTCCTCTCTCTCTGTCTCTCTCCCTCTCTCCATGGCATCTTCAAGCATCTGACCGACAAGGATCCACCGCGCAATAGTACAAAAGAGCCCGATTCTGGCCCAGAAAGGAAGACGCCGCTCACGATGAGAGAGAGAGAAGATGCACTCCGACATCCCTTCCTTTCAATGCACCTAAACCGGAACAGGGTTGACTTCTAGTCCTTGTGGGTGGGTGTGGTTCCTCACGTTGCCAGAACGGCGGCAGGAACCCGGCCCACCACAAAAAATCAGCTTCACATCACAGCAGATAACCAATTAGCCTGTCAAGACATCAACACACGATTCATATCCAGGCAAGGGAGCCGCGATCATTCGCAAGCTGAGGACGACCCCTAGTAGGCGTTGGAGGCCTGTTTGCATTAAGTTCCTGGTTTCAAGCAAAACTTGTCCAGTGAACAAAATATATTCAGAGAGAAAGCATGGAAAGAAAATTGGGGCATGACAGAACCTGCATCCATGTATCTTCACCGTGACGTTCAGGGGAATTTTCGGGCGAATTGATTGCAGGCGGCAAGGGATGAATAAGTTTCGGGACGACCACCAAATCTCTTCCCAAAACTAGTATTGCTCCAGCATTATTTGCCGTCCCTGCATATGAAAGTAGCCAATCCTCAAGAGGGAACGAGCCAAAATGATCACTGATAGGCACAAGGGGGTAAGATAGTTACCACAATAGTTAGTTGCAGAGAAAAGAGTGATCAAATGCCCCTGAGCGAAACGCTCAAACCCGTCCATCACACATTCATGGGCGCGAACAATCAGCTGCAGGTCGTTATTACTGCAGAACTCCATTACACGGTCAGGCTGCCAGCACCGATCAGTTGTTAGGCCGGGATTTCCTCCACCAATCAAGCAGAGCAGACAGTTTTTACACTCGTAAGAAAAAACACAAGCTCCAAAGATAATCTCAATGTTCAATGCAGACAATGGGGGAAGCAAGCAGCAGAAATCAGACTCTTGCCAACCGTCTTGTTTTTTCAAAACCACAGACTGATGCTTTAAGTCTACCATTATTGCTTTCCCATTAAATTTCCAAAGAACATCTTGTACTAGCAGCAAACTACCGTTCTTTATTGCAATCACTAGGACGTCTTGAAACCCACAACTCTGACCATATGGAACACAACCCCTGGCCCAGAAGCTTTCATTTAATATCAAGACTCGAAAGTTGGCTCTCCAAAGTACACATCTAAAAATCATGATATCAGAGGTAGTGCTAAGATATTTTGACCGCATTTCACAAATCTGACCTTCATTGTATTTCAACTGGAGTATACTTTTTGAAAGTGAATTTTAATTCATTCTGTGCTTCACAAATTTCCACGGGAAAATAGGATCACTCTTTCCGTTGTTTAAATATTCTCTCAAAACTTTGCTTAATTCCTCAAGGCTCACCAACCGATATAGATCCATTTTTAAATGTAACCACAAATTTCTGACAGGAATATAAACTCTTTTGCAACTTTTTCGGGTAGCACTCCCAACACCTTGTGTGGGATGCCGATCGAAGAAACATAGATTGGGGTAAGCTAAATATTAGATGGCATTTCAAGTGATTTTCAAGACAACCGACCTAATCCACATCATCATTTCAAAAAGAACGGCGTTAGCAGCAAATAGAAGGTGTGACCTGCCCTAAACCCTCAGATTGCACTTCCTCCATAAGACCACTTGATCAAATCCTACACTGTTAATAGGTGGGATTTTGGCCGACGAACACTTAATGAGAAAATAGCCCCCACTGGCGCACACTGTACCCAATTTAGTATGGAGCCTTTTCTCCGTAAATAAAACACATTACCAAATTAATCCAATACGAATAATCATAATGCAATCAACGTCCTATCAGTGCAATCCAAAATTATTCAATCATAAACCTGCTCGCAATCAAGTTTATGAGCAAACATTTTAATTTAACAGTCTAAATAACTTTTGGACAGAACTGTGTGCAGACAACTGAAGCAGATATCTTCCTTCAAGATAAGCCACTTTCTTATAAACTTACCTATCGCTTTCTTCAATATCTCTGCCATGATTTAAAAATCTGCTACCTATACAGTGAAATGCCCCTTCTGTTTTAGTGGCATGAACAGCATACAGAGTCAAAAAGTTCACCAAAAGGTCATCCTCAACTTCTCTAATATTTATCCTTAGAGAACAACATTGATAGTCTCCCAGAATGCTCAATAGATTTCTATGGACAATCACCAGGTAACGACAATGTCTACATCGTTGTGCAATACAGCCATTTTCAAATCTACTTATATGAAACAGTTTATTAGCTCTTACATCATGAATTATCCACTGACTGGATGGCCGGTCCAACTGTGGTTTGCGTAGTTCTTCTACAAATAAAACAGTAAAATTTTCAACAACAAACTTCGAACAAAGGCTTTATCCTCTAACTATTTGTATCCTAGTTTAATATATTCAAAAACCAAAATTCATCTAATATAGATATTGTATGAGACTAAGACGCGTTTCCATTTCTTTCCTTCAGCAGTTTCATTACCATATGTTCTTCCATTTTTAACTGCTTTTTCGATTCAAAACAGCACTGAGATCCTTAGCTCCTGATGGTTAATTTCTGATGAGTAGATGGCATATTTGCCTCCTTTTAACTTCCAGGGAGTCAAGTATCTTTCCTGTGCCTTGCTCAGAATTTTTCAATTAATCTTTAGCATCTCTGCTCCACCAAATCATATTGCTCCTCAGCCATCTTACATTATTTAAGAAATACCTGGCAGGACTAGCGCCTGCAGACACTATCGTCCACGTTTTATATGCCAGTTCACTTAAGCCATCTCAACCTGGTCTCTATCAATAAGTTCATAATCCATTTTGTTTATTTCAGCTTCTGGTTCTACGCATTATAGAGCCTTGATCTGAAATTAATCTCATAGGTCTCTATATCGGGACTCTCCATGACATTCCTAGGAGAACAACAGCCTGTTCAATTTGGACTGGACATAACTCTTCTTGGAAACTTTCCCGGTATACTTCCTAGGAGCCAACCCCCATACTCAACTTATTACCCCCAGACTCCAAAACAGTTTTTCTGAACAGATTTGAAAAACAAGGAATGCATATGCAAATCGTTTTACAGAAGCAAACTGTAAAGTAAAAGAAATTTAAACTTTTACAAGTGAAATCTTAGAAATAGATATCCTCAACTGTACTGGAGATGAAAATATTCCAATTCCTGAGCCACCTTAAAGCACAGGCAATCAACCCCCATATTTCCGTTTTTCTATGGAGCGTACAATGGATAGTAGCCAACCCTCATATTACATGAAGAAATATGATAAGCATCTCTTACTGGCCTATCCACCCAATAAGTCATCCACTTGCTGGCGTTCTGTTCAGAAATTAACAAAGTTCTCACAATCTTCAGAAATCCAATTGCATACTCCATGCATTATTCCCTCTAACTATTCTAAGTAGCTTCTCACAAACTAAAATCGATCGATTAAATGTACAGAAAACTATATTATGTTCATGAAACTAAGCTATCCAATACCACAAAATAATATGACTTTCCAAACGCCACAAAGAAAACAAGACATTATGCAAGACGACAACAAGTAAACACCCAAGCACACACAAACAACACACGCCTTGACACACTGGCAAGTGGTTCACTTTACTGGCTACTTTGAAAAGAACAATTAAGACATCTGAATGTCTTTAGAAGAAGGATACCCCTTCATCAAAGGCACGACAGAGATTAACCTTGTGGTGCTACATGATAGCATGGAAAATCTCATGCACCTCTGCTCGACACAACAGCTTAAGTATTTTTTAATATGCTTCTACCAGATGACAAAAAACAATATCACACTGAATAAGTTATTCCAAATTTTCCTGTATTGATTATTTTAATGATATCCCTGCTCTCCCATTAGTGCATGCAGTCTCTAACAGCGCTGTCGTTGGTGCACATATTGACAAGAGGTGTTTGTGAAGTTTAGAGGGAGCGAATGGCTATAAGGGGTGTTTGAAAGAATTTTAGAGATAGCACGTTGTTATATGTGGTGTTTGTGTCAATGCTGGAGAGTGCACGTCGCTATATGACGTGCTCGGGTCAATGTTGGAGAGTACACATCATTAAATGAGCTGTTGGGTCAATGTTTGAGAGCACGTCTGGTTATACGAGATGTCTGGTTCAATGTTAGAGAATTCATACACTCAGTTTCAATATACCTATAAATTGCCTGAGGAAGTCAAATAAGAAGCAGGCGAATTTGTTTAAAAAACTGCAAATCTCTCTCCCGCCAAAATATAAATCAATTTAAAAATACTGACCCCAAAAGTAACCAGACCCGGGCCTCTAGCATTTGGTCGCAAACCTTCAACACTGTCATTCTCTGTCGGATCAGACCTGTTGAAAGCACCATAAGAAAAGTGGCGAATCTTTCATAAAGCCAAGAGGTAGATGCACCAGAAAGTTACGAAGGTTACAAAAAAAAACTGACCATAATAAGTCCATTAGTACAACTGAACCAGCTTCCATTGTTATTGGGCGTTGTAGGTTCTCTATTTGTTCTACATGATTGATTGATCGACCTATGCCCCCATGCATACAGATGATTTTCTTCTCAATTAGAGCGGCAAGAGGGAGCCAGTTAAACAGTCTATTTATCCGATGCCATGCCCAGATTCCATCCCGCTCCCCCTGTTTTTCAGAGTGAGTATTTAGAAAATAGATAAATCCTTCAGCTTCTTTAGAAAAAAATAATAGGTTATATCACAAATACCATGCGCTCAATGCACTCAATTCTGAAGCCAAATAGGGCATTGATGTCTGCTGCTTCATGGTTCCCACGAATTAAATGGACATTGTTTGGATACTCGACCTGGGATAGAAGAAACAGCAGAAGAGACTCAGACAGTTGAGCAGGGAAGGATCTTTTTACAAAAATATTAAAATCGTCTGATACCTTTAGTGCAAGGAGAAGAGTAATGGTCTCTAAACTATGCTGACCCCGATCAACATAGTCTCCCAAGAAAAGATAATCAATATAGCTGAAAAGAATATGAACGAATAGTAACCACTAATGACACTAGGCCAAAAGCAGAATTGCACAAATAAAATTGATTATCAAATGAAATATGAAAAACATTATTAAAACCAAATTATCGAGCACAAAAATATCTTTCCATCAGAACATCCACATCTACATTTGCACGAATTCAAAAAAGTTAGTAAATATTGACGAATGACCTCGAAATTAAGTAAACTTCAAAAAATATAAATAGTTCAATTTATTTGCTTTAAGAAGATCCATTAGCTACCCATAAGTAATATACATTTAAACACGTAAGGAAGACGTGAAAAAAATAGCCATTGTGATTTTTTGTGATACATGAAATAGCTTATATTAACAAGAATACATACGAGATATTCAGAGAAAAATCGCAAGCCCATTTCATTCATATTTACTTCCTTGGGAGAAGATTTCAAAATCCAGAATTCTTGCTAGAATTTAACCATTTATAAAACATTAGCATAAACAAGCTTCCAACTTTTATCCAAAACACAACTGTCATCACCCTATGCAAGAGAAACTCACAAACAAAACGAAACCCTAACCACAACAATGCACAGAAAATATCATTTTAGAAAGCATTTAAGAAGACAAACATAAATGTGACAATTTATCTTTTACAGTAGCTAATACAAGTACCAATAACAAAGTAAGATAGTTTAGCAGCAGACGCAAAGAACTGAAGATAGCATAAGACAATGAAGCAAAAAGCCACAATGACATAACAGGGAAGAGCACAATGTTCATTAAACAAGAAAGCTTACGCTATGTCTCCTGCTGTTGAAGGAGCACCATATTCATCAAACAGGCGCATGAGATCCCCAAACTGGCCATGCAAATCACCAAAAATCTTCACAGGAGCTTTTATTTGCAGGACACTTGGCTCACTTGAAAATATTCGCTCAGCACTATCACAAAGATCAGCTATTTCGTTGCAGTCAAGGAAAAACTGCCTCCGGACAGGGGGCTTCCAACCACGAGGTTTCAGAAGATGTGCTATTACCTGGAGAGAATGCCACAACAATATTCGGGAAGTTGATGCCTTATTAGTTGCTGACTATCGGTAAGTCCAAGATAACAAAAGTAAGCACATCATAAGAAAGATGAGCCACACTCGTTTCACACTGGAAAACTTAAAATATGGACCTAAGAAAAATCAGAGAATCAAAATATAAGGTTTCAAAATCATGGGCCTATCCAGATCCGTCCTATATGTCTCTACCAAATGACAATAAATGGTGTGCCAAAAAAATGACAAATGGACGATATATATTGTTCTATGAACATAAGTTATAATTGTCAGTCAGCTGTTTATTATCAGAATCTGTTTCAGGAAACATCATTAATATGACAAAAACATCATCAATTTATTTTTTTATTTTCCGTACCTTTTTCGGCACACTATTGATTGACATTTGCCGATCTAGCAGTTTTCTGGCCGCAGTTGCACTCTCTGGTGTACCGTAACTTACCCTTCTCCCTTCATTCTCAAATTGATCGATGGAAAGCTGACGAACCAAACCTCCAAGGGCACCCCCAGTCTCTGCAGCTACAACTACCTGCACTTACCAAGAAACCGATGGTTAATGATGCATAAAGCAGATGTAAAATCGAATCACCACACAACAAGTTCTTATTAAGTATACAATAATTGATAAGTGAAGCCTTGAAGTGCAGAACTAACTGCTCTGTGATGTAGTCGAACCCCAGGAGGAGCATTATCTAGTTGGGCAGACTCTGGAACCTTGGTAAAAGTAGATATTGGCTTGCCACTTGATGTAGCATCAGCACCACGGTCCCGATCAGGCAGTGGTGTGACTTCACCATTAAGCTGCCAGGCCTTAGCGGCAGCAAGAGTTGCACTAATAGCCTCGGCCTCTGCCGCAGAGGCTTCAACTAGGTATTCAACTCCTTTGCTTAGTCTCCTGCAGCAAGCACCTCGCTCAGTGAACAATCAAAGGAATTTACATTGAGTACATAAATGAGTTCCAACATTCCTGGACTTTTTATCCAAACAATATCATCCAAGTACCTTTGACCCTGGAGCATTGCATTCTCAGTGCTTATGTCTGTGTACATATCCCCATTTATTGGGGGAGCAACAGGACTTCCCAGTACAACAGCACCATCAGGATGTGCTTCAGAAGTGTCTTGCCTTGTTCTCTCATTAGCAAAACCATGTCCCCCAGATAACTTTCCCTGTTGCACATTTGTCGAAGCAGCTACTGCAGCAGCATGTGAAGCTGCAGTTGTAGTCTCAGCAGCAGCCAGGTCCTCAGCAACGAGCAAATCATCCAACAACACACCTGAAAAGGAAATTCAGGCACCATATTTGCAATTAAACTAATGAACGGGGTAAATGGAAATCCCTTAAGCAGCACCCAACAATTAACATAAATGGATTACCGGGATTACACAGAAAACTCATCTAGTAAATAACTTAAATTCCAATGTTACTTACCTGTGATAGAAAAATAGATCTAAGAAAAACGGTAATAATATTTACCCCAATTATTTCCAACAAAAAATAATCCTTATGCTATGGACCAGGAAAACACAGCGTGGCCACGTGGAAACAAAATAAACCATTTTCATTGTTCTCTTAAAATACTGATGGCACTTGCAACTGAGGAATATCTATTGGTTTAGTAAATCTTATACTCAAATAGTTAACAAAATTGTTCTCCTATTCTATATCGTTTCATGTTCAATATCGAAATCTGATGCATCTATTTATTCTGTATCTTTGATTTGGGAAATGAATCATTTTTTGTGTTATATAATAAATAATGTGGCGTAAATATGATAAATAATTTTTACATTCAGTTTATATCTGATGCAGATATTCCTATGCAATTAATATCCTGCATTTATTGGATATGAGCATATTATTCATCAATTATTTAATCATTAGTTTATCTTTCAAAAAATAAAACAACTACATTGTACATCATCTTTCATTTTATTGCCATGGCAATAAGGTGGTGGATCACCCCCTGAGTCACTTTAGTTGATTTAAGAACACAACAACAGAGCCAAATCACAAAGGTATGGCAAACTCCACAAGAAAGAGAATTATGTATATTCATATTGTTGATGTTTTCCCATCCATGTATGTCGTGTGTCCTCATTTTTAATTATTTTGAGCGTGTGCATGACAACCGATTTAATATTTACTTAGTCTAATAGAAGAATATTAATCCTTTCCAGAGACTTAATGAATCGAATAATGTGTTTTGACAGGATTCAAAAGAAACAATCGAAGTTTTCATCATATACATCTGTGTCTAGCAGAAGCAGCCAGTATTGAACAATTAGGTTCATGTCTTTACACCAACCGGAAGTGGGCAAAACCATCGAAACCATACCACCACTTCCCATTTTCGGTTTTTATTTATTGCCATCACCATCCGACCGGTTACAAAAAACCATGGGGCTTTGAAGTCCAACTCAAAGAATATTTCTTTCTGCACAAATGCTGCTGGTCCTTACAATGGTCTACAAGCTATAATAAACAATGGAATACTCAATATACAATTTGGGTTCCTACAATTACGTGTCTTCAAGCCAATGTTGGACTAACCAGTATCATATCCAGACTTGGAAAGTAGAAGACCCAAGCCAAGCCATAAAAAATTCACTATGGCATGGACAGTTAGTCTCCAAATGCACAGCTTTCCAGATAAAATTCATTTTCCAATAATAGGTTATATTAAAAATCTTAAAATATGCAGCCAGACCAATCGAACAGAGTGCATCATTTTGATTCATGTGAACGACATGAGATGCATCAATGCTGCACAGGCAGACAGAGTTCATCAACAAAGAGATAACGAACAAAAAATTTAAAGAAAAGGTCTTTTGAGTGAAAAAAATGAGCACTGCCCCTGCATAATAGCATCATAACGAAGACACATTATAATGTACTGCTCATTATTTCAATTCAGATAAGTTGATCAGAAGTCATAGTCAAAAAACATTTAAGATTACTCAATGAAAAAAATGACGAAGTAATAGCGTTATTCTGAACTGCCATGCCTACGATAAAGAACAAAAAAATTATGGAGTTGATTTTCGCAAAACATCCATAACCGAAAAATGTTTTTTTTTGAGAGGAAAAATGTGAAACAAATGAAACAATAATATTCAGAAGTTTGAAAAAGCAATGCACTGATCCATAATATGTAAGATGGCATTTCAATTCATTACAATTGCTCTGGCATAGAAAAAATAATACAGTAAAATAAAGATATGAATAAGTACTGAACAGAAAGTTAATTTATCTAAATAGGTTTCAGGCATTACCACCCCGCAGTCCTCCATAGATGAAGATCAAATCACCAACAGCAGCAGCAGCATGTCGACAACGTCGGGTTAACTCCACGGACGCATCCCCATCAGAAGCGTCAGCACTGTATCTCCCCGTTCTGGGGCTTGTTACAACCGACTTGGTATCGCACCAAACTCCAGCAGCAGTGTCCAGTACTAATATGATGATGTAAAAGGCAATATCATAAGAAAACAACAATAGAAATTGGTTCATACCGGGTAATTCAATAAGGAACCTCATTTTATTTTTTCTTCAGAAATTTAAAAATAATCTTACATTATGTGTTACATTTGAGATATGGTGGGACTGCCCTTTACATACATTCTTCAGACTGAAGGTGACTTGGAGAATAACAAAGATCCAATTTCCAATATATAGATACAAGTTCAACAGTCCATATCGGTGATAACTACTAATGAGTCACGTGAACTTAAAATCAACAAAGCCAGTGAGCTCATTGGATACAAAAGCAGCCAAATTTTCCTCTTTATATCATACTCGCTACAATAAACAGGCAGAGATCCCAATCCGAGAACTTGATGTAAATCTAGAAGACAAGGTGATGCCCTTTCTAAACAACATCTGAACAAGCTCAATTCTAGCCCAAACACTCAGTTTATGAGCAAAAAACCAATTTTAAATTAAAATCAGGTAGAGATGCCCATCGGATAAACTTAGTCCACTTTCGATGGCCTTGGATCGGGCTTTTAAATAAGCAATGCATGTGTTATTTGCAGGTTGCCTTCACAGAACGACCTTTTCCCTTTAATGGTAACGTTTACTATCAGGCTGTTTCTCTTTCCAAAGGAAAAATTTAGAAAACTATACCCTTTCTAACAGAGCTAAAATTTTAAAGATTAAAATGGCAATAATAATGTACATATCCATCAAAGAAAATAATGTCCCGAAGTTATACGTGCTGCTTCATGAAATTTCAGAAAAACTACCTGCAACACTTGAGGAATCTTCGACCATGCGACCACCGCCAAGTGCCCCACCAGAGACATGAAGCCTTGCATTGACGAAAACCTAGAAAAGTAATATAGTGAGTGAGATTTCAATGTCCGTTTACAAACATATGGAGGGTGGGTTGTACAGAAAAAACAGAAGATTGCACTCACAGCAGCATGTTGATATCTGGGAGATGGTGAGACTCCAGGGGCTATAGCCCATTCCCAGCGACCGTCCCTATGTTTCGCAAGACCATACGCACTTGCAAGTGGCTAACAGAAATAAAATCCACTTAGTACAGAGCACACAGCACTGAATAGTAAAAATCTAGAAAATTATTCTTATTTTGGAAAATATAAGTATGCTTCAAGCCCTAAGATTTGCTAATTCGAAGCAAGAAATATGCTTTTGTGTTATACCACGATAAGATTTAGTAAATACCATAAACATTACGAAATACACATAAATGAACACATGCATGTATACATCAAGCACAGTTTTGTCCAAGGTGTCGACTAAAAAAAGAAGCCATTTTTTCTCCAGGAGAGTTCATCATCTAGTTTGATCAAACAGTTCGTAGAGTACAAATGTGGTCTGTCATACCAGGGCAGCAAGACCAACTCGTCTGAAACAACTCCATTTTCAGCAGGTGCACAGCATCAATGGCCCAACTCGTCTGTGGATAAGGCTTTTTCCAAGGGGGATAATTCTGTTTTAGAAGGAATTCATGGACATCTGTAATCGGAAGCGAAATGGCCGAAGTCACGGCCATAAAACCAAGACTACGATCTGTGAAGATTTTGACATTCCAAGTCTTAATCGAATGTTGCGTCAATGAACCTTGAAAATTGGAGGTACTACATAATGGAAAAGCAAAACAGCATTAAGAAGTTAAGAATAAATCCAAGCAAGGTTTTGGATGATTCTTAGATGGCACAGGCTAGGGTTTATAAAGAACTGCCCTAGAAACCCAGAAGGCACCATCCTTAAACACTGCCATCTCCCCCTCCCCCTACCCCAACTGTCTTCCCAACAACAGCAGACCTTCCCACTTTTCTCCTCGACCTCCACAGTGCATCCAACGAGAACCCTGACCCCCTCAGCCCAAAGATCCAAAAAAACCTCAAAGTAAAAAAACATTGTAACCTACACTAGACCGAACATAAATTCCGTTTTGGTTTGGCCAAGGTTGGAATCAGTAGTCAGCTCGTTTTTCAAAAACTATTTTCCGAAAATAAAAGAAATGGGACTGATGATCCCGCCATTCAAACAAAGCCCAAAACCTAGCAAATCCTACATTAACAATGATCCAAGAACAAAACAACATGAGAAACAAAAGAAGCATCTGACTGCTAATATCAACACATCCCCTACTTAAATGGGAACTCATACCCAAGACAACCCTTTCATGCTCATATTCTGATAATCATAAAACATCAAATAATCGAAAACAATGCATGTCAAAATAAATATTTGTTCATCCATATATTTAAACGTTCTTCCAGTGTGTATTATTATAATATTTGTTCTTTAGTTTTCTCTTTATAGTTTCACATAAAAGGGGAGACATTATTGGAAACAGATGTGTCTGACAAGTTCCCAAATAAAACAAGGTTGGCCAGCACAAGACCTTGATTCAAATGAATCCGGAGAAACAGTTTCCGCTATATAATAAATTGTCACCCAGCTAACAGCAACAGATCTCCCTGCAGAGGCAGGTCGCTCAAAACACAAACCCTCAATGCTCATATTTTTTATGCTCTGAGAGCCAAAAATATTATGCAGCAATAGACACCAGAATAACTTATTTGACCACATCCATACATTCTTCCATGTCAAGTTAACAATAAAGACCCCTCATCCTTCATTATTTATTGAACATCAAACAAGCATCTCAGAAGCACCAACATACCAAGGATTTTCCACCTATTCTAGACAGTCACCATCAGATGATGTCACTATGATGTATATACGTTTTGAATTGAGGTTAAGCCCATGGAGTACAAAAATGAACTGTGGACAGCAGCTCTTTCGAAGAGAAATCAATAATACATGCATAAAATACAATATGATCAAATAAAACGGGAATGATCATATTGCATCGTAATCCTCCATCAGTCACAACTCACCACACTGTTTGCATCCCTCCCTCCACACAGCAGAAGAAGACCGTCAGAACGAGCACTTGCAGTTGCATACCTACTCAAAAGTTTGGGAATGAGAAAGTTAGAGCAAAAAGAATTTTATAAGGACAAGCTGAAACATGGAACCAAGAAATAAAAATGAATATTTCTCTTTAAATTGTGAACTCCAAACACAATTGCTAAAAACCCAATTCAATTTCTGTTAGTCGCCACACGAGAAAGCTTGGAAGGGAATGCATTCCCGAATTACATAAATCTCTTGCTGGAAAATATTTAGCAAAACCTATTAAGGACAGAAACTGTACAATGGACAGTATATGCCTTAGTTAGCACTTAAGTAAAAACAATGTGGAAAATATTGGTGGTCAGTTTTTCTGCCATGCAAATCCTTTACTTCTGAATGGTATGAGAATCTTTGCTTCCCCTCTGAAGCGGGCTGAGTAAACTAATGAGTAAATTAAAGAAAAGCACAAGGAAATATCTAAAAAGAAAGGCAGCATTCAATTTCTGTCCTTAATAGCATTCAATTTGAGAATTTGAGGAACCAGTCATTTATTAGAAAATTTAGACGTTGAGAGAAACTATAGCCATATTAAACATAACCAAAAATAGCAACAATTACAGTAAATAGGAACTTCGATGGCACTTATACTGACTCTTCAAGCTTCATGTCATCTCTCTAAGAGGCTAAAATTATAATTTTATTAAATGTAAACAAGTAATGCTTATCAAATCAGATGATTCATGCCACATTTCAGTCATTACAAAAATAAATGTGCCATCCTACTGGTGACTAAACACTCAAATCGAATTGTCAAAACGACGAGTGTTCAAAACAGCATAAAGTGATGCTAATGAAATAACAGTTGTTGTCATGGGATGGCTAAGGTATATGTGGAAGACATTACTGAAATCTAAAGGTTGATATTTTGCAAAAAATATCCACATTTGGGTCTCTTACAAAATATGAAAGCATTGAAAAGTTATGAACTTTAAACAAATTGATATAGAAGTTGTTTCTCCTACATCTGTCTTCACAAAAGATTCAAAATCATCTAACACACAATCCTTCGTCATAGAGCCATAGGAGCAAAACCTAAAAGAAAATATTCATTCTTGATCTAAAAAAGGTTAATTTCCCGTTTTTGTTATACTAAAATGAATACATACGCAATGCATTAGGGTTACAACTTTGGCTGATCGTAGACTAGACTGAGCACTCTGGGATTAGATTTAAACAAAGCTTGAATTGGACTAGAGCTTAATCAAATTTTTCAAACCAGAATGCAATTTAGCATGGCACAGATTGGCAACAAAAATGGTGAAAACCCATTCCAAAAGAAATCTGGTTTTTCTTGATGAAGTTCAGCTGAAACATAGACAGAAGCCCCATGACATTTAAGGAATTTCTTGTAAATCTGGCACTTAGACTCAGTTTCAAACCTAATGGCCAATGGGTTAAGTTTTTGGGACAGGGATGGCATGAAATCGCCATTCATGGTCGGGTAGTCAAGCAGCACCAAGGTTTCTAAACATGACCGTGGCATGAAGATACTTCTTGCCACTGTGTCATTAATTCATCTGGTTGGATATTAAAATCGCAGATTGAGGAACGAACATCAAGATATCTTCTTGGTCTTCCCTAAAGTTTGGCACACAGGCAGAGCTTCAACAGAGTCATTCAACAGTGAAAACCTTATCAATAATTGAAGCAAAGAAAAGCAAAGATTTAATATCTGTTACAGAGAAATGATATCTCGTTTATTTCCAGTGGTAGGGACCACTCCATTATTATCAACCATCTTCATAGTGCTTGCTAAAATAGCAGATTACACATGTTTCGGAACATAACTTTGAAGGGTCGCCGTAGTAACACGGCATTGTACATGGGAGAGGAGATCAGGCCCCTCAAAGAGCAGGCCGAAAGCTGCTTGCCTTGGTTGCTTGGAAGCCTAGTCGGCCACCATAAATTATCATGTTGGAAGACTTATTCAATGGAACTAGCATTTATATTGATCACACAACTTACACATTCCGGGACTATGTTTTTGGCAATGACATCAAAAGCAATAACTTGAATGGCACTATGTTCTGCCTGATTTTTAAAGTCAATGGCATAATGTGACCTACTTCAAAAACTAGTAATGCATCAAAGATCTTATCAACTAACCATGATGCTCATGAATCTGTAGCTACATATCTAAATTAGCTGTGGCAATTACTAAATTAATGATAGACCCGAAGCTTTTGATAATATATCGTAAATGAGAATTTTTCAAAAGTTTAAATGTATAAATTTTCATTTTTTTAGCGAGAGAAATGTAGATATTTCGTAATTGATATAAGTGAACTTTAAATTTTCATTAATATCATGTAGAGAAAGTAATCAAATACTAGCTTAAGTCACCTGAATATTTACACTTAGGACATGTTCTTTTTTCCACTTTCTTGTGCTCTACTTGTAAACTTTTAATACAAAATTTGCTTTGTTTTCATTAAGTTTGGTATTGCGCCACCTCTACAAACACTTAATTAAATAGAGAACTGTTTTCAATCACCCCATCCCTTTAAAGTATCCTACCACCAACTCCCAACTACTCAACACCCTTTTTCCTGGAAAATGGCCAGTACCACTTATCAGCAAAATATCATAAAGAATGGAAAGTACCAGGTACGTACATTTTCAATAAGTTACCAGCATCCCTTTTGTAAAATATCTCTTTAGCCAGTAACAAGATGTAAATCTCTTTCCGTCACACCCCAACACTCAAGATTGAAGAATTGATCTTCCATATTAAAAATATTATATCTCACTCTAACGTGGATAGTACTGGATTCCCTGTCCTAAACAATTCAATAATTAAAATAACTGCTGGACTTCTCAAACGCTACCGAAACCAAGCATACAGGACTCAAAATGTTGGCTTTTAGGGCCACTCCAAGCCAACCACAAATCTATTAGAATTCAAAGTTGATTAACCCCCTAATACTCACCCAGCAGTGACAACCCATTTTTTTAACTTCAGGGTGAATGTCAACTCCCTTCCATGAAACTCAATGATCTTGAACTTGGAGTAGTAATTCTGACTGAAATCAAGTAATCCCTCAGCAAAAGAGTTTAACTCTGGGAACCATGATCCTTCACATCCACTGAGTCTGAAGGTTAACAGTACTAAAAACTGAATCAAATACAAAATGCAAAGGATTGACCCACAATTAGCGGTTTAAAACACACATGAGCATAATCATATGAGTTTCGATTTTATGGCATCTAATTCGCAACTAATTTTTTTCCCAAAGCCCCAAGATCGGCAGAGCACTTGTGACTTACTCAGCTTTTAGCAACAGAAAATCGTAAGAAATAAACTCCAAATCAAAGTTAAGTACTGGAAAAAACAAACCAACAAAATGTGCAACCATGTGACAGAATGCAAATAACTTTCAATAAGAGCTTTCCACTCCTTAAAAGGTCAAGACTATATATGATTGTATCACTACAATTTTGATGGCTTGGCTTCGCTATCGCTCTCATGTAGTGGTCGACCTTAAAAGAAAAGGAGTCTTCTTACCATACCAGAATGCCTACAGACGTTAAGCTTCGCCAGAAGCAAGACGAGACAGGATTGAACCTACATAGACAAGGCTCGTTCCGTGCTTGACTTTCTCTACTTCCATCCTATGTATCCATCTATTTTCCTAACTAGGCATCTCCCCTTTGTACATGATGAAAATTTGGCAAAAAAAAATCAATTCATACCTGAGGAAAGATATCGAGCAAGAGAGATTCATCTGATGTTCCCATCCATTATAAATTTTAATTAACTCATATAAAGAGTATTATAAGTTCACACTCTATCTAGCAGCACTTTAAAGTGCAAGAATAGCAAAGGGACTCATCTATATGAAAAACTTAAATTCATACAGTTTTCAATTCCCACTTGACAGTTTATCTAGAATTAAACATTGGTATTCAAGTAGATACAACAGCCACGAATGATTCCACCTATTTGGAACTGCAGGAGAGACAATTACATACATAGGAATCTGGTAAAGGTTTCATAGCAAATATGTCACTAGAGTTGTGTGATTAGTCATACCAAAAGCATACCTTGACTTTTCCATGTTAAAACTCAAATTTTTAATTTTTGGCTAAAACCTCCTCACTCCAATTATATCTAAATCTATACAAATACAAGCAGATATGCTACACTCAATATTCACATTCAGACATTTGCAATCACAAATGTGCAAATTAACCTTTAACAGTTGGCACCTAGATGCATGGCCTGCTTTTAGTGTTACTTGGACAGTACGTGTTTTACCAGCATCGAATCTTTTTCTACTTTCAGCAATTCAGATAGGGAGGGTGGCAATTCATTAATCTTATCTCCTCTCACTAGTCATCTTTTAAGTGAATTCTTCAGTCGCAAAATATGAATTCTAAATTCTATAATAAGCTAATTGAGTTAAGTCTGTATTGAACAAAAAAGAAGAATTAAAAACTAATCTAAAAGGTTAAAAAAATTATGATGCCAAATCATGCAAAAAACGATCATCAACATTCAAATGTAAAAATTAAGATAAATGGTGCATGAGTTCGGTTAAGCACACAACAGAACCAAAATTAATTACGGCCAGCTGCACTCACATGCAAGGTGGTGGCCCTTCACCCTCTGGTTCTAACTTCCTCCACTCATAGGGCTTTGCAGCAGTGTCCAACGCCCAAACATCAGCCAGAGGTCGCTTCCCTGGAGAAGAAAAGCAATGGGACATGTTAAGTGAAAAATTAACGCCTAGAAATCAAGTGGTTCTAAATCATTCGGAAAAAAAATTTCAGGGGATTTATGGGGGATGGGTTGGGAGGGCACTGTTATCTTGGAGGAAAGAACAAAGCTTACCATCATTCCCTCCTATTACCAACAAAAACCTTTGGCCGACTAACGCCATCACATGTCCATAGCGAGGACCAGGGCCTGGTCCCTGGACAACAACTCTGCAGATATGTTGATAGTACCATTGGAAATATATACATCACAAGAAGTAACAAAAGTAAAATTGGAGGCTAGATGAAGCTTTAACCTATGCCACCGCGGACGTTGTTGTGTTAGATCAAGAACATGAAGATCCTCTGCAGACAGACCGGCAGGACCAATTCCACCCTGAAACAAATGAATGATATCTATTGATAAAAGTTATCTGGGTGGAAAGAAGAAACATGCACCAGCAGAATGAGGGTACATAGTGAAGTCCATGAGCCTCCCAAGTACCTGAATTACCACCATTGTGCCCACTGCGGTCGCAACATGTGCTGCCCTGGGTGAGGGAGGCTCTCCAAGAGGAGTGAGCCTGAGCACGAAAAGAATAAGATTGATTACCGAGAACCACAACAAAAGTCCAGAAGAAAGTGATCCCCCAGCAAGGTGAAAAACATGGCAGAAATGTTCGCAATTCATGTCATCTTATGAAGCTTGGTGAAAGATAAATTAATATTTTTTACTGTGGCAAAAATGCAGGCTCTCATCACGCAGCCCTTGCCAGGAGAGAACAACCATGTTCAGGTCCTTACCTTGACCACTTATTTGATAGGACATCGTAGCAGTGTACATCAGCAGTTGCGCCAGCAAGACCTGCAATTTCAGATAAGTTGACACCTCAAAGACAGCGCCAGAAACAACTACTATTCAAGCGAGAATGATTTAGAGAGCAAGGATTTTAGATTGCTCTGGTGATATATTCCTCGTCGGATCACCCTACTGCCCAGCCGCATCCATACTTCATTTGAAAGTTAAAAACTTTTACCTTGTCCAGTTTCGACAATAATGGGCCAACAAACGGAATGTTTAAAATTAGCGCAATGGTGGCCAGCATTGTTTTGGCCATTCGAAGGCCGGAAAATGGTAGTCCATCAGTTGAAAGAAGAAGAAGAACACGATTTGAACAGAAGAGGAACGTACGGATGCCAGCACTCCCAGCTGAAGACGGCGGGGCGGCGGAATTGCCCTCGAGGGCAGTGGCACCTCCAAATAGAATAAGACGCGGACCGATATAGCCTGCGCTGCCCTCCTCGCCCACGGCCGCAATAGCGGTCAGTGTGTGCCCACATCTTGACCCAGCCCCGTCCTCCTTCTTCTCGATGATGGCACTCACGACCGAGTATGCGGGCGCAGGCCGGGGTCCCGTGATGGCAGGCAGCTGTGGCGGCGGCGGCGGCGGCGGGGACGACGAGGGAGAAGACTCCCCATCGGACGAGGGGCTTTGCTCGGTGGCTTGTTCGGGGCAGCTGTCATCGGTGGCCTCGACGGGCTCCGGATCGGTATCCGCGGCCCCAGACGGAGAGTCGACGTCCATGGGCTGATGCGGCGAGAGCGGTCGTCGCTGGTGGCCGAGATCGCGGCTGAAGAAGGGGCGCCGCCGAATCTAGGACCGGTACTGGACGGCAGCCATCTCCAGGGAACACCTGAACGCGCCGGAGGCGCCCATCCCTACGGGCCGATCCGCTCGATCGGAGGAGGAATTTGCGACCAAACCAGCGAGGGCCAAGCTAGGCGGCTGTGCAGCGACAAGCAGGAGGAATCCCAAACCCTTGGATCGCCGGACAAGAGGCGCCGAAGCCGGATTTGGGGGCGGATAAACCCCACCCCTACTCGAGCGGCGGAGATTCGATCCCGGCGGCGTCCTGCCTCGCCGGCGCAGACGTTGCCGAGAGACCCCCTTCGTTAATGGCGAGCCCCCACTTTCGCCGGACACAGAGAGAGAGAGAGAGAGATGGAGAGGGAGATAGAGAGAGAATAACAGACAGGAGAGGAATGTAAATACCGGGAGTGACGAATAACACGGGGACGCGAATTACCGGACGGCAGAAAGGGGAAGAAATAAATAATAGGAACAAATATTTTTTTACGAACTAAGCCCTACCCTCCCTCGCCCCACTACCTCGTTGACCCCCTCCGTTAGTCTTCCTCTCTTACCACCGGTCGCCGCTGAGCAGCGGCGGGTCAATCTCGGCCGCTTCGACCTCCCCCATCCCTCGTCACCATCATCACCATCAACCTTATCACCATTATTCTTGTTGTTGCCATTTGGCGGAAAACCTAAGGAGGTCAGATCCTTAGTGAGGAAAATCAAGGCGAGGGATGGACGAATGGGATTAAAAAACCAGGCGATCTCTTGCCTTGGCGGCGAATGAGAATTGCTCGACAGTGGGATTCTGGGCCGGCGAAGTTTTCCGAAGAAGGAAAAATGAAGAAAAGATCGGAGCTTGCCTCCCTTGGGCCCTTCTCCTTTGGCCGGATTCAGGTACGGTGTGCTCTGCGACGGGGATGACCGGGCGAGAGAGAGAGAGAGAGAGGGAGAAGTGGGATCTAGAAGAATTCCAGGCAAAGGCAGAGGGTGGGAGGGAGGAGTGGGAAGCGCATACCGGGGAGCGGAGGAATCTGAGGAGGAGTGCGAGGGCGGCGACTGGCGGCCCCTTCTCCCACCTCCATTCCCTGGATTTTGGGGCTGCTTGCTGCCTCCCCTCCTCTGTGGACCCCCGCCTTCCTCGCCTTCTGCTGCTTCTTCCTCTCGTTCCTTCCGGCGTTCTGTGGGTGGCGTGCGCCGGCTCCCTCCAGTCCTCGCCGCCGCCTCCTCTGCTGAATGGGCGCTCAGAACAGCGTCCACGCCGGCAAAGGTCCGTCTCCCATCGTGAAGCTCTCTCTCTCTCTCTCTCTATGTAGTTGTCTGTCGCTCCTGGTTCGATCGCCAATCCTCGAGGATCTCTCTGTTTCTGACGGCGAGAATTCGATCATCTGTGTCGTTGGGCAGCGAAGATCGACTACAATGTGGACCTGACACACAAGCTATTCGCTCCCCTCTTAGTCCCCAATCTCAGGTGCGCAGCCCTAGATCTCTGAGAAGTCGCCGTCTCGCATTCCTCCGCCGCCTCCTGATTCTTCCGTCTCGGCCTCTCCCTCCTCCCATCTCGCAGGCACTCCTCGAGCAGCCCCCTCTCTCTGGTGATCGGAAGGCACGCCCTAACCCTAACCCCCTCTGTATCAGCCCCTTACCCCCACTTTCTGTCCATCTCTCATCTCTCTCATCTGAAAATCCAGGCTCTGCATCAAGCATCCCGACCTGTTCGGCGGGAACGAGAAGTTGGACGTCTCGTGGGACAAGGGCCTGTTCGACTCCACCGTCGTCGTCGCCGTCCGGCGGCCGAGGCACGAGAATGTTGCTCAGAAGTCGCTGCTTCTCCAGGTAATGTTCCCCCCGCCTCCTCTGGCTGATCTACTCGCGCTCCTTCTCTGGTTTCTTCCTCCTGTGAATCTGCTCGAATGGATGGTCCCTTTGCGACGAAGAGGCTCATCGTGCATCGCCGTGACCTGGTCCGTCTCCCCCTTCCCATGCAGCATTCTCTCGCCCCCGAGGTTGGGCTTCAGGGGCCCCGGCTGGACGATCCCTCCAACCCGACCCGGAGCGCCGTCCATCTGTGCCGCTTCTCGGCCGGTGTGGACATCTGCGAGCCAGCGAGCACCAACTGGATCAGCACCACCAGCATCAAACTGGAGGTCTCCACGATAAACTCCTTCCTGTCCCCCCTTTCTCCAGGATAAACTTCTTCTTCTTCTTCACTATCATCATCTTCTTCTTCGTGATAATCTTCTCCTGCTGGCCAGCATGTGCGCCCGTTGAACGACGAAGGACGCTCGATAAGCAGGGACATTGATGGGTTTCCCATAACCTGCAGGTAGTACAATTCGATGGCTCTGCAAATTGGCTTGAGTTTCTCAGTTGTTCTCTGAAACGCCGCCATGTTCATGCAGTGGAGGCCCCCACGACAACATGGTTATCTTGAAGCAGGAATCCCAGTACGCCGTCACCAGCGAGACCAGCTTCTCTAAAGTCAGTTTCTCCTCCTCAATCGTCGGGACGTCGCCGTTTCATGGCTGAAAGCGATATGAGAATGGCAACAGATAGGGATTTACGCGCTGTTTTCCATCTCTTCCATTTCTGCAGTTGAATCTGCAAATGGAGCAGGGGGTTCCGATCCTGTCAAGATGGCTCATTTTCAACAAGTTCAAGTTCTCTGCTTCAAGTGGAGTCAGATTTGGGCGGGCATTCTTGTTAACCAGGCGAGAAATATAGCACTCATTGAGAGAGAGAGAGCCCCCCGCCCTGCGGAGGAGAGAGAGGGGGGGATGTGTTCTTCTTGAAGCTGACCTTCTTCTGTGACAGCCTGACTGGCGGCTCCATTGTTGGGGACTTGGCTCCCTACCAGGCTTTCAAGATCGGCGGCCTGGGCAGTGTTCGTGGTTACGGCGATGGCGCGATCAGCTCTGGAAGGTCCTTCTTGGTGGTCAACAGTGAATTAACCATCCCTCTGGTGTGCCTCTCTCTCTCTCTCACTCTCTAAATCCGATTCCTCTTTTCATAATTGCCCTTTGGAGCTTCACCATGCATATACCTTCTCGAGATTTTATGAGGCATGCGTCTCATGCTTAATCTGAGACAGTAATGTCACACATATCGCCGATTTTAGAGATCAGCGAGATAAATTTTGTTCCGAGGGAAAAAGGAGAAGGTCAGCGGAACTGTAGCTTTATGAGTGTCGATATGGTTTCGTAGTATTCCTGGTTATTAACGGGTTCACATTATCTGCTTGACGATTTTTTCTTCTTTTTCCTCGCCTCTATGTGCTCTCTGGGTAGAACTCATGGGCTGGTTTCACTGAATCTTACCGTATATGTAGCCTGTTTAATCCAACTTACCATGGAATCTAGAATTCTGCAGGGCCCTCCGATTTGAGTTATTTTTCCTTGCATGTGGAGGGCTTGAGAGCTTCAACTGAGTGAGTGCCTTTGGTTGTGCGTGGGCAGACCGAGCGGTTGGAGAGCACGCTGTTCGTTGACTTTGGGACGGATCTGGGCTCGGCCCACCACGTACCAGGTGAGTTCGACTCGGGCGTTGAATCTCTCACCGGCGTTCTCAGCCGCCGTCCTCTCCGGCGCTGACGGCTTATGTCCATTCATGGCGCAGGCAACCCAGCGCTCCGGCAGGGGAAGCCCGGGAAGGGGCTGGGGGCGGGGGCGGGCTTGCGGTGGAGCTCGTCGGTGGGGCAGATCCAGCTGGACTACGCAGTCAACGACCGGCGGCGGACGACCCTCTACCTGGGCGTTGCTGTCCCCTCGGGCCGCTAGCTTCTTTATTCGGCGGCCATGAAATGAGTGAGGTCCGTTCTCTTTCTTCGGCGTTGATGTGCATAGGTTGTCTCCTCTTCCTCGTCTTCTCGTTCTATTTGTGGAAAGCGTAGACTTTCATGGGGGTGGCCAGCGGTCAGCCCCTCCACAGAACGTGGAATCTAGGAATACAATACGGAATCTATTCAATTCAGATCCACAGAAATGCAGAGGCAGTACACGTCCAATCCAGAGAATTCATGTCTTCTTCTTCTTCTTCTTCGTACTGATTTACTTACTAAACGGACGACGGAGGAGGAGAGACGAGGACTGCGGCTGTACCGCCCGGGGCGGCGGCGTTTTCTGCGACGAGGGTGCATTGGGGCACTCCCAGAGGGGATGGCCCGATACAGGAGCCAAGAATGAGTTGCCTTTCCGGTTGCGCGGCGGAAACTCGCCACCGTCACTAGACTCTGAGGTCGCGGCGGAACCCCGCCGCCATCCCCGGAGGATGCGGCGACGCTATCGCCGCCGACGGCTTCCCGTTCGCGGCCTCTCCCTGCGCACCGTCGGCCTTCTTCGTGTTCAGGAAACGCCCGCTGCAACCCCTCGCCCGCCGCATTGCATGGAGGTGCCGCGATTCGTGGAGATACGGCTGGAGTCAACAGCGGGATCAAAATATCAGCAGAGCTCTTCCAAGAAGAACAACTCCCCAAGAAAGAAAATCTGAAAATTAAGGAAAAATAAGTCAACGAGCTGCTGCTGCTGCTGCTACGGACCTTCCTAGCTTTTACCAGTTTATTCTCGAGCTCCGCCTTCGCTCGGGCCTGCCGGCGGCGGAGAATTCCGCGGTACTGCTTAGCGTTCACGTAGACCGGGCCCTCCTCGGGCGTGGTCAACGGCAGCAGCATCATCCGCTCATCCTTCATCACAGAAGAAAGCGGCACAGAATTTCTCTCGCTACTTCCGCTCATCCTTCGCATGAATGCAGAACTTGCATGTAGATCGGCTGAGAAATCTCGCTACTTCCGGCAAGGAATGCTTGAAGATAATTTCTCTATCTTTTCTACACAGAACAAAAAATATATATATGGAAGAAAAAAATCAACCTGAATCTGAGTCCCGTAAGGAGCGAAGTGGCGGTAGCCATGATCGACGAGAGGATAGCTCGGAAGGGCTGTCGGTCCCTTCTCCGCGTTCTCGACTGAACCAGAAACGACGCCGTCAGCGGAGCGAAAAGAAGAAGAAGAAGAGGGCAGTCAACGGAAACACGGCGATCGCCGGCAACCTGTGGGCTCTGAGAGCTTGGCGGCGCCGCCGTGGCCGAAGAAGATCTCCGGCTGGCTCCCGGAAGGCGGCGGCGGCGACCCGGGCCACCAGGGACGGAACATCGCCTGCGGGGACTGGGCCGTCTGCATCCTCGCCGCCGGAGAAGCGTCAACACCGGCGGGGGTGAAGCGTCGGTCGAGATCTACAGAGGTAACAGAGGGGAAGAGAGGTGGTTGCTCACCTGAGCAGAGGAGAGCCGCAATAAATCGACGGCTCCGGGAGGATGGGAGGGGGGAAGATGCCACCTTGTTCCCCACCCCCCCGCCAGCCGGCGTATAAAAATGGTGACTTTACTGGGCACATTGACGTCCGTTTATTTTCTCTGTGGGCTCGCATCATCGCCGCTGGAATCCCCGGCGGCGGTCCCCTCCTCTCGCGCAGGGCAAGTAATTCCCGGACGGGTCCGACGCCGCTCCTCCGGCCTCCCCGGATAAAGAAAGGGCATCACCAACTACTCCCCTACCGACTGCTCTCTTCTATCTCTCTCAAAATCTCAATATCTATCTCAATAATCGTGTTTATATATTATGTTGGGGATGGGTGGGGCGGCAGCATTTACTCGGAAACTGTGAGACCGGGGGTTTCATTTGCACGAGTGGTCCCAAATTTAGAGGCTTGACGTGAGGAGAAGGGGCCTCGGCGGCGACGACGACGACGACGACGTCCATTGCTGTGCGATGTGACGTGGAGTTAAGAGCAGAGCTCGTCATCGTCGTCGTCTAAGCGGCATTTCGTCGAATTGGGTCCGGGTCTGGGATCGCGGAAGAGGACGGAGTCAGCCAGGTCCATAAGTGGCGCGAGGCAGTCGGGGGAGAACTTGCGGGCGAAGAGGTAGGAGCGGCCGCCGGCGCCGGGGCCACCGGTGTCGGTCCTCAGCTGGCGGACGAGCTCCTCCGTGACCTCGCCGAGGAGGTAGGTGCGAGGATGCCCATCGGAGCTTCCCGTCCAGTTGACCCGCGTGAGGGTGTAGCCAGTGCAGCCCTCCGGGTCCCGCATCGAGAGCAGCGTCGGGAAGTAGTGCTCCTCTGGGTAGCAGCTGTCCCTCATCGCTTCCAGGCACGGCAGCCGAAACTTTCCCCAGAGCCGCTGTTCCGCCGCCGCGAGCGACGCGTGGCGGCGGGTGAGGACGAAGAACTGCGAGCCCACGCGGAACTCCTCGAAGGGCACCTCCGGCAGCATTGCCGCCGCCCCCCGGGCCACGTAGCGGTCCGACAGCCCCGGCTCCCCGGCGAGGATCTCGATAAAGCTCCGCCGCCGCTCGCCGGAGCGGAGGAGGGAGCGGTAGACGAAGGGGAAGGAGCGGAGGGGGACGCAGTACTGGGAGACGAGCGCGAAAAAGGCGTTGGCGGGGTCGTCGTCGAGCGCGGCGGCGAGGAGGCGGCGCTCGGCGGAGATCAGCGACGGGGAGGCCCTCTGCGTGGGCTCTGCCGCGATGAAGCGGCCGCTGAAGACGCCTCCGGGGTGGGCTACTCCGGCGGCGGGGTCGGCGTGGACGTACACGGTAAAGAGCCCCCCGTAGCCCCGGAAGAAGCGCTCCCACAGCGGCGCGAAGGAGAGGTTGGAGTTGGTGAGGAAGAGGAAGGCCACCTTCTCCTTCCTATTCCCATTATTATTTCCCCCCTCCGACGATGGGTCAGATCCTCCGCCGCCACCGCCGAGGAGGAGGAGAGGACCCCCGGGGTAGGCGCTGTAGGCCAGGAGGAACAGTACGGGGAGGGAGCAGATGAGCAGGACGATCGGCGCCGCCGTCGGCGACCGCGCCCCGCTCGGCAGCAGCGGCGGAGGCATGCCCCAAGCGAAGGCAGCAGCGATGGGGATTCTTCTCCTCTGCCTTTGACTTCTCAATGCCCCGGCCCCTCTTCCCCCCCCTAATAAACGCGGCCCGGAGCATCCATTAATCCGACCACTGGGAAATCAAGAATATACTTTTCGTATTCACAGAGAACCCACGGGTGGAGACTGTTTTCTCCCCCTTAACCGTTGCTGTGGCTCTGAAGGACCAGCCGGTGGCGAGGAAGAAATTCAGCTACCGCGTTGCTGTGAGCTGCTCGGCTGCGGAGGATCCCCCCCACCGACCCGCGCCAGGTGGCTAGCCTTTGAGCTCTTCAGTGGACGGTGTTGGGTTGATCCGGCAGAGGCGTCACAGCGGAGCGCTCACCGCCGTTCGACGACGACGCCTTCGCCGGTGGAGCCCGCCGCCCGCCGGTGAGACGAGGCGATGGCGTCTCCTCCGTCAGGAAGGAGGGAATGCGCTGATAATCCGCCGCCGCCGCCCCCGCCTCAGCCCCGGCAGTCTCTGCGCAGACCAGAGAATGTTGATTGCAGCGCACCGACATATTTATTTCCATCGCCTCAGAAAGCTTCGGGCCCTTACCTGGTGAGACATGCATACGCCATGGCCTTCTCCCGCTTCACCGCCGCCTCCTTCCTCCTAAGCAGCTTCGTCTGAAGCTCCTCCCAGGACGCCACGATCCTGCACCAGCGGTCCTGCAGAGAACCAAATCCAGTAGCGAGAGAGACAGAGACAGAGACAGAGAGACACAGAGGTGTACAGAGAGAGACGGCGTTACCTCGGTCTCTCTCGCACTAGCCTGGTGCGGTGGCTGAGTCTTCGGCTGACCCTCTATCGCCATCATCACCCGCCTGGTGCTGACGAGGGCCCTCCCCCTAACTAGGTCTTGCATGCAGTGGAGGGCCATGCCGGCCTGCTTCCTCACCGCATGGCCCCTGACGAGGGCCTGCGGCCGCACGAGCCATGGCGATTTCGTCCAGTCGCCGTGGATGGATGATCATTCCAGCGAAGATGATGATGCCAGAGAGGGAAGCAGGCGCACCAGGAATGTTCGGAAGGCGGTCTGGATTGACGATCGCCGCCCGTTCTTCTTCTTCCTCCTCTCGTCCGGCTCCGTCGGAGGCCAGCAAATGGGAAGGTGAGCTCTGACCATCGCCTGTTCTCCCTGGCGAAAGATCTCCACCGGCGTTCTTCGTATAGTGTTGAGACGGATGAAAAAGTCGAATGAATGCCGGGATTGCAGGTGTTTCCCAGAACCCTAAGTGGATCACACAGGAAACCAACCATGTCGGGAGGTATAATGACGTCCTGATTCTTCTCCACAGAGGTTGACCTCTTCGTCCTTCTCAGCCGCAGCAGGACTGTGAGCCATCTTCGTCCTGCTCATAGGAATCTTCCCGGAAGGGGAAGAAAGATGAGGGGAATGATCCACGAGTATGAAATCACAGAAAGTCAGATGATCCGTTGGCTGAGGAATATCTCCTGAGATATCATATGCGGTCCCCGGAAAACCCAGGGTGACGCTTCCGGCATCGTCTAGAAACAAGATGGAAAGCCATCATCCGCAGCCCAAATTTGGCGAAGCCATGCCCAGATTTGACGGACGGAAGAAAGGATCGTGAAGAGAAGAAGAAAATCGAGATGGCGGACTGAAATAGAAGATCAGATTCGTTCGAATTTCCCCAGGGATCGACGACTTGGGGATCTGAAGAGCGAGCTTGCTCGCTTAGTGAGTTACAGAGCAGGAGCAGGAAAACTCACCTGCTTGCCGAGTTCCGTGAGCGGGCCCGGCGGCCAACAGGCCTCTCCTCCTCCTCCGGGACGCCTCCGCCGCCGTCGATCGAGGCGGCGAGAGTGGGAATGGAAAGGAAGCGGGAGGGAGGCGATGGGCGCCGACGACGACGACGACCTCTTCTCTCCACAAAATATCCATCGCCCGGCCGGTCGTCTTTGTCGCCATTCCCATTGGAACTGCCTGGGACGGCCGAGCTGGGGGGAGTGGAGCCTTTCCTCCCTCCCTCCATTCCGGCATGATTAAAGCCCAAGAGAGTAGATCTGCGGCTTTCTATCAAGATTAGTAGTCTCTCTAAAGGCAACAAAGACTGATCTTCTACCTCCATCCCTAACGCAGGGTCAGAGACGTGGGAGGGACAGTCAAAAGCCCCTACAAAATCTCACCTCAATCCCCCCGCCCCCACCCGCCAACATTGATCCAGGAAGGCTCCCAAGTAGGGTTCCACAGACCTACCTCTCCCTCTCCCTCCCTTCCACCATGATTAAAGCCCAAGAAGAGATCTGCGGCTTCTATCGGTCAAGATCAGTCTCTCTAAAGGCAACAAAAACTGCTCTTCACTCCCATCCCTAACGCAGGGACAGAGACGTGGGAGTGACATTCAAAACCCTAAAACTCTAAAGCTGCCCCAACCCATCCCCCCACCGCCTCCGAACAACAGTGATCCAGGACGGCTCCCAAGATGGGTTTCACAGACGTAGTGTCATTCTTGGGAGTTAGCCCACCGGCCCCAACACACCAAACTTTAGAAAAAACAAAAAAGGTTTACTTATTTATAATTTTAGAGACAAAGGACGGCCCAAGTGTTTCTCTAACACCATGAAACTAACCAGAGTGATATCATACCACCCCTCAGATAAGTACATAATAACAGATGTCAATGTGTGAAGAAGTTTATGTATATTCTTGAGAAGTGGGGTTACATGTGGGATTCGAATGCAATACCTAAGCACTATAAAAAGAAAATCATTAATGTAAAAATCATCTGAAATATTAAAGAAACACACTTTTAGACATGAGATTCAAACTCATGAAGTTACACAAAGAGGCAAAATATGACAACTTAAATATTTGAACATCATACAAATCAAAGCATATATAGGATTTGAAATTGAGATCATTATAGTGGCATCATGAAAAGTTGATCAAATATACAGAGAAAAATCATATGATCAATGACTAAAAGTAGGATTCAATTTCTACATTTTACATGATGGCTGAATTAAATTGTTTGCATGAAGCTATCAAATAAGTGAAGTCTTCCCCATATAACCTACATAGTGACATCAAGATTTTACATGAAGAAAATGACAAAGTATTACAGAAAGGAAGAAGTTCAATTTTATGTATCTTGGGCAATAACACATCACCAAAGTTTGTGGACAAAACAAAAAACTCAACAATCATATCAGAATCGACCCTAAAGACAAAGATGCTTATTTGACTAGTTGAGAATCTTCATACAAATTATTATGGACAACTTACATAAGAGTGAAAATATTTGAGCTAAAGTATGACAAAAGGTTAAAAGCATAGATTCTAGATGATAACTCATGAACAAAATATGTTGACTAAAGACAAACTATATCTATGTAAGACCCTAAAATTGAAAATATTCATTGATAAGTTCAGAATCTCCAAATTAAATATCATTGACAATAAACTCAAGAGTGAAAAGTATAGTTGTATAAAGTTGTTGAAGGTCACAATATGCTGATAGAGTAATGTGAAGATTTTCAAACTCATATGACTATTCTCAAATACTAAAATAAGAGAGATAAGTTAGAGTATAAAGAGGATGAGTTGAAGATGAACTAATTTATTTTTATCAATATTATTTATTCAAACTTAAGAAGAAGATCCTACTTAATCCCTTTTAGTAAAATAACATGCAGCTCAAAGAGACAATCAAAGCATCATCCTACTCACTTATCTCTATTGAGCCCTAAGCTAACTTGGGTGATAAGTGGATAGAATGCTAGGCAAAAGCATGAGTCATTAAGAGCTAAAAACTACTTGTGGAGGGTGTTGTTCTTTGAAGAGAATTGTATATTGACTTAGGCATGTAGTATTAAAAGTCAAGACTTGCATGTGAAGGATAAATTTCTATGAAGATTGAATAGAGGTGTTTGGGCTATGGATCTCATGAAAGTAACTATATTTTTAGAAGAAAATAATAAAATTAAGTAAGGGAATCCTCTAGGACTGGACATAGCTGAATGAAGAGTGAATCAATAAATTTCTATGTTACACATAGTCATGAGCAACTTTGTGATGAAAGGAGAAGTGACTTAGGTGAATCTCTATATAAATATGAGAGATTTGTGTTATAACATGTGTCGACAAATACACACAGATCGAATGATAAATAGAACAGAAAAATACAAGAAATTAATTCACCCCTTCATTCTTTTACTTCACTTAGTCACATCAAACTTAACATGTTGTGCCTCTTCCTTTAAAGGTTATTGTAGGTGAAGTATTATCATTCATGTTTCATATGTATATTTTGTCCTTTAAAAAAGGGACATCTATCAAATTGGTATCAAGCCATCCCTCCTAAATCAAATGACATAAAAATCAATTTTTTTATGAAGGAGCTTGAAAATATCTATTGAGATATCTCATGTCTCTAGTAGAATAGTTCAACATTGTAGACCAACATCAAAGAGATTCAAGGGAAGGTAACTACAAAAAAGTAATAATAAGAGTATATTATCCTCACCCTCAATGACCTTCATCATTATAATGTCCCTATGGATCATCATCATTGGGACCACCCAACTAGGTCTTGGGAGAAATAAGTTAGGGTTGTCCTCCACCTCTATAGGAACTTGAAAATTTGAACATAGAGGGTTGGGCAAACACTACCACAAAGAACCCCCCATATCCTTGATATAGAAGATATAAGGTTGAAATGCTATTATTCATCAATTAAGTGACAAAAGTCTGGGTCCTATAAGTAGAACTATTATTCTCCATATATTAGTGTCACAAGGGAAACTATTCATATTTGGTCTTGTAGAGTAGATATGTGGCAACTTAGGTGGCAAGTCAAGAAGGATATGTGCATCAAGCATTGGATTTGGAACTTGGTGGATTAACAAATCGAACAAACATTGTGGACAAGAAAACTAGTAAGCACATGTTCTCCTATTATGGGGCAGAAAAAGTAGTGGTGTAGTGAGATATAAACTTAAGGTATCATTTAGGCCTAAATAGATTCAATCAAAGACAATTATATAACCCTAATCTTACACTAATTAGGTAGATAGTGTGAGTTAGGGGACAATCCATAGGGATTGGATTTTAGTTTAATTTTAGGACTTCGAATTAAGGAAATGAGGGAGATGAGTTAAATATGAATTAGAGGGTGATAGAGGGAGATAGAGATGAAGATCTAAATTAGACGAGAAGAGAAGAAGATGAAATGAATGGATTTTCGTGGACCTAAAAACCTATTAAGAACCTCTAACCTACTCTATTCTAGATCCAATACAAGAATTAGAAGACAATTTACCAATATCACTACCCCTTGATGATCTTCTTCAAGCTTAGATGCTCCAATAACTTGCACATACACTCACTATCATACTCTTACAGATTGAAGATGAAAGATGCAAGCATCATTCATTAAAAACAACGAGGGATTCAAGGGTGCTGTTTCACTTGGCCAGATAGGTTCTAGGGCAACCATAGAAATGAGAGAGAAGAGAGGCAAAAGGCATTTTTGGACACCCAAAATGCCCTAAAAAAATGTGATTGAATTTTCGTTCTTGGAAACTGTACTCCATAAAAGTGGATCACTAGTTTACTATGTTGATTCTAAAGGCTTACATTGATCCATTCAATGGGCTCATTGTCCACTCTAAAATAGACTGAAATAGATGGTGGAGAAAGGGCACAACCATGTCTACCTATGTATCATAAAAACTCAGGAAAATTCTAAGAAATAATCTGTTTGACTTAAAAAAAGTCAAACATAATTAACTCATAATCCTATGCTCATAAAAATGTGCAATTAATAAATTATATCATACACAAAATGTAGAAATGTCATTGGGTAACATGATAACATGAACTAATAATTAATATATATGTATATAGAATAAGCA